TTTCCCTAACAGTTTCTCATTATTAAGTTCGTGAAAAGGATCAAGTAAATTAAATAGCCATGACCATTCAGCACAAAATTTCGTAGTCTAGTGGCGAAGACAGTGGTCTCCTAAGTGGTAAATCGACGGTTCGAATCCTTGTTTAACCGATTTTCATTATGAACTTCGTGAAAAGAATAAAGTAAATTAAATAACCACAGCCTTTCAGCACAAAATCTTGTGGTCTAGTGGCGAGGACAATGGTCTCCCCAGTGGTAAATCAAAGGTTCGAATCCAACCATAACCGTTTTCCTTTATGAACTTCGTGAAAAGGATAAAGTAAATGAAATAACTATACCCGTTAGGCCCAAGATCTTGAAGTCTGATGGCAAAGGCAATGGTCTCCCAAGTGTTAAATCGATGGTTCGAATTCCTTCATAACCCTTTTTCATTATGAACTTCGTGAAAAGGATAAAGTAAATAAAATAACCCACCGTTCAGCACAAGATCTTATAGTCTAGTGGCGAGGAAAGTGGTCTGCCACGTGGTAAATCGATGGTTCGAATCCCTCAATATAACTCTTTTTCATAATGAACTTCGTGAAAAGGATAAGGTAAATTAAATAACCATAGCCGTTAGGGCCAAGATCTTGTAGTCTAGTGGCGAGGACAGTGGTCTCCCAAGTAATAAATCGATGGTTCGAATCCTACCGTAACCATTTTCATTATGATCATGAACTTCGTGAAAAGGATACAATAAATGAAATAACGATAACCATTCAGCAACAGATATTGTAGTCTAGTGGTCAAGATGTTGGTCTCATGTGTCGACAATGGAAGGTTCGAATCTCGTTTTAGATGGAAATTTTCGTTATTTAAATTTCATGGCAGGGTTATGACGAAAAAGTTGGTGTAGGCTTCCAACAATCACCAGTTAGCCTTGTGGTAAAGTCGTGGACTATCAAGTACAAGATTGGGGTATCAAGAACAGGATGGTATGTTTCTCATGGGCAAAAAGAGAAATGGTAGGTATGTTGTTCGGGACAGGTTTATACTCGGTTAATCTTTGGAAATCAAAGTTAATCTTTAGGGAAATGAGGGGATAGTTAGGGTGAATTAGGGGTATATGAGTACAAAAAGACTTAGTAATTGGGCGGCCTCGGCTCCCCGGGGCAAGGGGGGCCACCTCGGCTCCCCGGGGCAAGGGGGGAGGTATAGGTGAGAAAACAGTATATAAAATGTTTAAGTCTTTTTGTACTCATTTAAACCTCTTTACCCCTATTTACTCCTATGTGTCCCTACTTTTTCTTATCCCTAGATATCCCTAATTATCCCCTTACACAATTAAATGTTTGAAGAAAGCTTGCTTTGAAAGTCACGAAAGGCGGGGGAAAGAGAACCCCCCTCAGTCTACTCCTCGCCCAAGGCGAGGGCATATTCGCCCTCTCGCTCTACTCCTCTCACACTCACAAATTCTCACTTTACTACCTTTTTGTTCTCTTTCGGTTCGTCCCGGGCTTGAACCATCGACTGCATTCTTGACAGATCACCGTCTTCACCACTACACCACCAGTTCTTGTGGTGAAAGCCTGCAGTTTTTTATTTTACTTAATCCTTTTTTGGAAGGATCTTTGACGAAACTTGATACCTTTTGGTAGGATCTCAAATGAATAAATACTTAAACTGATGAGTTCACTTTAATCCTCATGACTTATTTTCTCAAATCTCACACACTGTATCTTATTCGTAGCCTGTAACGTAATATTAGCAATTTGTGTTCTCGCTAAAATATCACATACAGGTATGCAGTGCCTTAAAGAACTATCAATCCATAAGTGAGTTATATGAAGCCCAAGTGAAGCTAATGGTTACGGTGCGATTGTTTTGTATTTTTAATGAAGTCAAGTCAAAGTAAAGTACAAGAATTAACAATGCATTTCAAGATAGGTTTAAAAGAAAAGTTAATGAACAGATATTGACTATTTATTTCAAGACTTTCTTGTATAAAGAGCTGAAATATTAGCTTGTTTAGCCGGTTCGTCGAATATAAAATACGCTAAGAAAAAAGAAGTTCTGTTTAAAAGCGCAATTTCCGCAGTTAATCGCGGTAACAAAAAAACAAACAGCAGCTCAACAATATTACGGCAACGATTCATAATTATTCATTCAAAAGTTCTTCGAAGAAACGATTAAGTCAAATAAAGAACAATAGCTTATCGAAAAACGATGTGGTCGTCAGTAGTTGTTAAGAAGTTTGTCTCTTCAGTCCTAAGGTTCAAGTATTAGATAAGCGTATCAGTTTATATTCGACGAACCGGCTAGTGTTTCAACTCTTTATACAACAAAGTCTTGAAATAAATAGTCAATGTCTGTTTAACAGGATATTTGCTTCATTTGCGATTTCAGATGAGTATAATGCTTGTTGCCTCCTGACTATGAGAGTTCATAGTAGAGACGGGAAACTCATCGAAGACGGAAAACTCATTAGTCGCGAAGACGGGAAACTTATCTCATGTGAAATGCGAATCACACACGGCTTTCTCGTCGGAATTTTTCATTCTAACTTTCCCGTCTGGAAGAGAAACTCGTTAAATGCGCATTTAGACGGATCAGTAAGTCAGACGAGTTTCAGAAATATCAGCACGGTCAAGGACGGAACAAGGCTACAAAAAATAAACACAGTTATTATCGTAATGATTACGCATTACCCTTAACCATGCATCACACGTATAAATTTCCCATATATCCCATGCAATACACATTCAGACGGTTTTTACGGCTATCAACATTCCAGTCTCAGTAAGTTGAGTATTCGGCTGTTCTTAATTCTTGTACTTTACTGCGACTTCGCTTCATTAAAAATACAAAACAATCGCACCGTAACCATTAGCTTCACTTGGGCCGCATATAACCAACTTATGGAAAGACAGTGCTTTAAAGCATTTCATATCTGTATGTGTTATGTTACAAGCTACGAATAAGATAGTAAGGTCTGTAAAGATATACAGTCCGTAGGATTTGAGAAAACAAATCATGAACATTACAGTGACTCATCAGTTTAAATTGTTATTTCATTTGAGATCCTACCAAAAAGTATTAAGTTTCGTCAAAGATCCTTCCAAAAAAGGATTAAGTAAAATAAAAAACTGTTGGCGTTCACCACAAGAACTGGTGGTGTAGTGGTGAAGACGGTGATCTGTCAAGTATGCAGTCGATGTTTCAAGCCCGGGACAAACCAAAAAAGAACAACAAGGTAATAAAGTGAGAATTTGTGAGTGTGAGAGGAGTAGAGCGAGAGGGCGAATATGCCCTCGCCTTGGGCGAGGAGTAGACTGAGGGGGGTTCTCTTTCCCCCGCCTTTCCTGACTTTCAAAGCAAGCTTTCTTCAAACATTTAATTGTGTAAGGGGATAATTAGGGATATCTAGGGATAAGAAAAAGTAGGGACACATAGGAGTAAATAGGAGGATAAATAGGGGTAAAGAGGTTTAAATGAGTACAAAAAGACTTAAACATTTTATATACTGTTTTCTCACCTATACCTCCCCCCTTGCCCCGGGGAGCCGAGGTCGCCCCCCTTGCCCCGGGGAGCCGAGGCGCCCAATTACTAAGTCTTTTTGTACTCATATACCCCTAATTCACCCTAACTATCCCCTCATTTCCCTAAAGATTAACTTTGATTTCCAAAGATTAACCGAGTATAAACCTGCCCGGAACAACATACCTACCATTTCTCTTTTTTTCCATGAGAAACGTACCATGCTGTTCTTGATACCCCGATCTTGTACTTGATAGTCCACGATTTTACCACAAGGCTACCTGGTGATTGTTGGAAGCCTACACCAACTTATTCTGCATAACCCTGCCATGAAATTTAAATAACGAAAATTTCTATCTAAAACGAGATTCGAACCTTCGACTCTAGACAAGTGAGACCGACATCTTGACCACTGGACTACAAGATGTTGTGCTAAACGGTTGGTTATTTAATTTACTTTATCTTTCTCACGAAGTTCATAATGAAAAAGGGTTACGGAGGAATTCGAACCATCGATTTACCACTTGGGAAAGCATTGTCTTAGCCATTAGACTACAAGATCTTGGGGCTAGCGGCTACGGTTATTTCATTTACTTTATCCTTTTCACGAAGTGCCTAAAGGAAAACGGTTATGGCAGGATTCGAACCTTCGATTTACCACGGGGGAGACCAATATCCTCTCTACTGGGCTACAAGATCTTGTGCTGAACGGCTCTGGTGGTTTATTTACTTTACTCTTTTCACGAATTATATAATGAAAAAGGGTTACGGGTGGATTCGAACCATCGATTTACCACTTGTGAGATCATTGTCTTCGCCACTAGTCTACAAGATTTGTGCTGAAAGGCTATGGTTATTTAATTTACTTTATCCTTTTCACGAAGTTCATAATGAAAAACGGTTACGGTAGGATTCAAACCATCGATTTACTACTTGGAAGACCATTGTCCTCGCCATTAGACTACGAAATCTTGTGCTGAACGACCATGGTTATTTAATTTACTTTATCCTTTTCACGATTTTCATAATGAAAAAGGGTTATATTGACGGATTCAAACCTTCGATTTGAATCACTTCCACTAGATCACTTCCTGAGCGCGACTCGGGATATATATTTTACCTAATACTTTTCTTTTGCCCCTGCCCCCCTAATACTATTTTTACAACCAAAATATCTTGAGCTAAAATTCCACGATTACTCATTTTACCTAATCCATTTTTTCAAGATGATAAAGAAAGAACATTCTTCACTAGACTCGATCTACTTGACTGCACCAATTGACCACCAGACCTTGTGCCGAATAACAGATTTTTTTATTCTACCTAAACATTTTTGGAAAAGTAATCATGAAAATTTTTTTTTTGAAATTTTTATCAAAATCAAAATCATCCATCGACCACTTTGCAGACCATGAAGGAAATATTTTTGGCTTTTAGTTTTACACAATCCCTTTCCTCAAATGAAAATTCATCATTATATATTGTTCAAATGTTAGAAGAAGCAGTCGATTTGAAAGGCCACGTCAGGATCTTCATGAAGACATCCGATGTAGAGAAAGTATAAAGTATGGGATTAATCGTTGAGTTGATGGGTAACACGAACACAGCAATCCAGACGTATATCGTCTTTGTTGGATCATCCAAATTTCCTGTTAATGCCAAGATACTGATAATGATCACAGGAAACCAGCAGAGGAAATCAGTTAAAATGATGAACATCATGCGTTTGGCAAGTGACGAATTTTGATTCATTCTTGTTGATCTAACCTATATTCGGGTAAAATATTTAATTGTAATTAATTTTCGAGTAACAAATGATTCTCCTGCCAAGAGAAAAGCAAGACTTGTCAGAGGAATTGTTTAAGAATTACTCTTAAGGTAGGGTACAGTCGTTCATGTAAACAAACACTTAGTTCACATTTTAAATCGCCATATCTTTCAAAATATCCTGTCCTGTCGGAATATTTATTACTATTTTACTTCACTATTTCTGAATGAATAAGAGATTGAGTTTATGTTCAATTAAAAATTCAAAATATGCGAAATTTGAGCAGTTTCTAAATCATGGAGTACCCAAATATTATGAGCAGAGCCAATTGCGAAGAAAGCCGAGTGTCCTTAGCTGCATGATATAAAAGCTTAAAATTTAATTTTGAATGGAAACTTACCGCCTTTGCTGACTTAACCACCGTGCGATACATGATCACATACGCCAGGAGTATGAAAAGAAACGAAATACTATTAAGAACAAGAAACACGAAGAGGCAGAACTCCCAACCAGAGATGCGCTCGCTGGACAATTGCAATGGTATGCACACGGTTGAGCGGCCAAAAAAGGGGATGTAATTATCCCTGTCGTAGAATTCATAATCATACATTATCATTGCTATGCAGATGCCACAGCCAAGAGTCCAAACCACGGCCATTAACACGAAAGCTATCTTCATAGACCAACGTTGGAATCGAAACGGGAAGACGATACAGACGAGACGGTCAAGCGTTATCATCACCAAGGTAAATACTGATACCTCGCTTGAGAGAGTTGATATCACTCCAGCGATTACACACAGAGTACTTTTCCGCCAGCTTTTATCATGCAAGTAAAAAGTGTTTTTCCATTGGGTGCCCTTTACAGCAATGATCAACATGTACACACCCATCAACAAATCCGCTACCGCAAGATTCGTTAAAAAGAATGAATTAACTTTGTTCGTGTCTTGGGAAATGCATCGCCATACTACCACGATAAGGTTTCCAACGAGCGCCAAAAGTCCAAAAATCCATACAGAGTACCTCAGAAAGGGATTCTTCAAAAGTTCGTTACAATTTGAGAAACCCTCTCGAACTGTTTCAGTATAATCGCAAGTTAACCTTGGGTTAATTTTCCGCGCAATGCAGCAAATATTGAAGTAATCGACCTTCCTATAAAACACAGATACGAAAATGATTATTCTGACTGCATGGTGCACGTTTGTTGTAATCTTCGCCAAAAACGCGGGGTTAGACTATTTCGCTGAAAAATATTTTGGTCACAAAAAAAGAAATTGAGATACGTACAGCAAACGCAAGGACGTCAGTTCTTTGATTGTTTCGTGAGGAATTTTTTCAACCTTATTGTAAGTCATATTTCTAAAGAAGAGAATGAAGGTCGCCAAAATTACTAATAATAATACAAATAAACGCAAGCGGGCATCAAATTCAAAATTTTCTCAATTGAGAAAAATTATGAGATTTAGGGCCAGTTGTTCAAAAGCCGCGGTTGCGGTTAGCTTAGCCATGCGTTAAAGCAAATATTTACATTACTTTCAGTTTAGTTGTATATAAATGAGGTAGTACATATAGTTTAGCTTATAAATACATTTGGTTGTTTTTGCCTTTCTCGACTGCACTATGCAATGTTGGTTTTTCAGTAAGAAGGAATAAATCTTTTGAATTTCAGTTTGCGCTAAACAATCTTACTGGCACAAACTGCTGGGAAATTGAACTTTGTCGAAAGCTTGTTTAAATTATAGTTCAAACTTCGTGTTGGGCAAAACACCGAGTTAGCTACAACCTTATTTATAAAAGTGAGATGTGACATTTTCTTACAGCTCGATTAGGTTTCCCAAGTCGTGAAACGCTCCACGTCCAATTTTTTTAATTTTGTTACTTGTCAAATCTCTAAAATAGAGAGATTCAATACGCATTTACAGACGTGACGTTGAGCCAATTTGACGAAACAAAAGAGATAAACACGGGGATAGGATAATCTGTCGTTGCATTACTGCATTAGAGCAATTTGCAATTTCAGTCCTTTCCTTGAAAATATACGCGCTAAGTTTTAGATATTTGGCCAAGACAACAACTACTAAACCGAAGTCTGTATTAGAATTTGTCTAAAGGGCTCGTGCTCACCTAAAGCGTCTGGCTGAAGAATAATTTCAAAAATGGAACAAAAAGGACACTTACAGGTATCGTAGAGACACCAGTCCCTGAAATGCACGGTTAGGAATATACTTGAGTGCATGTTTCGACAAATCTCTAAAAGAAAAGCACAGAATGATTACTGAATTTGGATTTTGTTTCCAAGAATAATTGTATTACCAAAATACGATCCTTATAAATTTGTTTCCGCGTCCTAGAATTTATACATATTTGGCGGCTTGTGGAAATACACAATGTGAGTAATTTGACCACCAAAATGTTTTAACCTCCAAAACGGCTGCTCTATTTATCTATAGAGGTCAGCAAAGACAGTTTATGGTTGCAATTTGTAATGAATGCAAATTTGTACACAAGCCATTTTTTCAAGGCACGTTCATCCGCGCCAATCAATTGTGACTTACAACTTCGTCAAATTTTGTAAATCGTTGAAAGCTCCTGGTTCAATTCTTTTGATAATGTTATGATGAAACTTGAATTTTCTACGACAAATGGTTTGAAAATGACACACATTAGCTACATAAGATATGTGATGCAACAATAAATTTAATAACTATCTATTTTCCAACCGAAACCTGTTCTAAAAAGGTAATAAACTTCAGAATGAATGGCAATTTGCATAAAAGCTCTGACTAATATGTCTTTTCGAAATATCAATGTCCTTCACATTCATGTTAACGGCGATAAATGTGGTCGCGAAAATAACAGTGCCGATTACAAAATCTTGAACTTGGGTGTCAATTGGTCAGCTAATCATCGCGCTCCATATTGAGGTCAGCCAATCACAGGGCTCCTAATAGTAATCCGTAAAATATTAAAGACCTAATGCATTCCTAAATCCCTAAATTTTATATAAGTAACAGATACCATAGGCAGATAGAGTGGCAGAAAAGGAAATTCGATTTGGAAAAATGGTTAGAATTATATTAAACTATATAATGGAAACGCGATGTTTACAGGTGGCGTAAAGACACGAGCCCTTGAAATGAATTATTTGAAAGAACTTCAAGTTTATGACTGGACAAATCCCTAAAAGGAAAAGAATACAGGGTGTTTTTAAAAAGATAAGCACTTATATTATTAAAAATTATTCACTTTGTGAGCGACACAGTTAGAAATACTATTGCACTATTGTGTTTAGTAAAAATATGAATATTAAGTGATTGCCTCTTTTTTATACACCCAGAGTAACGATGTTTTATAAGTAGCGGCGTATTTAGAATATCAGAATTAGGTTCTGTTTGCGTAAAACATTAATTTCGTTCATATAATAAAGTATAAAACAACTACAATATGAAGTGTACGTTTATTTGTAGTGTACTTACAAAGAAATCAAATTTCGCAAACCGCTAAACCCTCCAGGTTCGATTCTTTTTATTTCAGTATACTTCAAATTTCTAAAACATAAAGGGATGTAAAAAGAGGCATAATGACTTTCTATCGCATGTTATTTATAACTCAGAAACTTCCTCCTTGAGCTTGACTCGGAAACACGGTTCTGCTATACGCAATCGTATAATGCCACCATCATGGAGTAGTTTTAGTCATGGATTAGTGGTGAACTCAAATAAAACTGGAACGCTAGCTCTCTGACTTTCCCTCGTTAATGAGTGAAGCCAAGATGGCGGATCATGAAGCCTTTCTTGCAGGTATGATCCAGACCTCTGGCGCGGAAATTTCATAGGTAAAATCATAACTGCCGCCAAATTTTTCGCACAGCTTGCGTTCCAGTCTTATTTCAGTTCACTGTGGATTATTAGTTAATTAGCAGTAGTAAGAGTCATGGAGTAGTTTCAATGGGTTTGTGTGTAAGTGACCTTAACCAAACGCGACCAGTTAAACAAGTCAATGGAACTCATTTAAAGCAACAGAGCACAGTCACTTACAAATAGCGTAAAGATACGAGATGTTGAAACATGTTTGCTGGAATAGTTTCAAATTGGTAGTTGTTTGACATATTTCTAAAAAAAAACGATGAAAAATACGGTATAATAAAAACGATGGTGCCGGAAGATCCATCCGATGTACGACGATTAGACTGAAAACAGCAGATGAGCTTCTTTGGTATGAGAATTGAAATACACGAAACTCCAGGCATCGTTTTTCTAGGTTGTTTAGGTTTAAAACAACCTTTTTTGTTTTTTTTTCTATGCATATATGTATGACATCTACATACGATAGTTATTGGAAATCGTAGGATGTTTTGCCGTTGAAGTGATAGTTGTAACTTTATAGCATTAAGAATTTTACCTGTAGTACCTGCCAAGAAAACGAACTCGGGCAGGTTGTTCGAAAGGCGTTTAGCTTAAAGGGTGGATAAGTTCAAAATAGAAAACATAATTATCTCTTTATTGAATAGCTGAGCTGAACTATTTCGATGTAAATAGTTTAATTTTAAGTGGAAGTACATATTTAATGCATAAGATGCAGGTTCAATCATTAACAAGATGCACGAGAGTATTTTTAAACTTATCCATCTTATTTCGCTTCTTCACCGTTTAAGCTAAACGCCTTTCGAACAACCGCCCCTGGACAATAGTTTTCAAACTTACAAGTATTCTAAATTTGTAAGTCCAGAAAAGGCACCACTGTCAATTGACTTTACTGGGTTTGAACTGAGGTCCCTAAAATCACAGATTATACACATAAATATAGATCTATTCTAGTCTTCGGTGCTACAAACACAATCGCTGATTATTCATTTCTTATATAGCATGGAAATTATATTTTCATGTGTTTGTGTTAATTAGAATTCGAAAAATACAAGTCCATATACGGTTAGGTCGGCTGATGTACAAATTATTTCCTCGTGGGATGAAAGCGTTTCTGCCAGATTGGGCGGGGTAAAACCAAATGTAGGTTTGTAGATGCAATTCATCAAAAGAAAAAAAAGGTAACCAAGCATTGAGAATGTGTCTTACAACGCGGTCAAATTTCCCAAATTGTTAAAGGCTGTCTCCTCAATTCTTCGAATCCTGCAACTCGACAAATCTCTAAAAAAAGATCGCAAATTGAGGAATAAGTTCTAAGTTTTTTTCTGCATACAAAGGGAGATCTGGCAGAAATGCCCTAAAACTCGATCTAGTGACTGTGAAATTATAAAATTCTTAGCATATATACTTACAGAGAACGTAATGAGACCAAGCTTTGGAAAGTATTTCCAGGTATGATTTCAAAAGTATTAATTGAGAGTCTCCTATTAAGGAATAATACATGATTATATTGAAAGACAGATTTTTTAAACAAAATTTGAAAAAGTGCAATTTTCAGTCCAAATAATTGTCGAAAAAGCACGAAAATGAATCTAAAAATATTCATGGGTAAATTTTACGGGGTACATTTTCATACACCCGGTATATACGAGAAACCGAATACTTACAGGGTGTGCAAGAACACCAGATGTTTGAATGTGTTATTAGGAATTTTTCTAAAACGATTTCGAGAAATATCCCTAAAGCATATTATCAAATAATAATGTTATTCAAAGAGTTACGATTTCTTCTTTTTTCAGGCGGTTCATTTCTCTCTGCCTATGTCGTATTTGTTCACAACGAGTAACCATCCCTTTGGGTAAGGAAGATAAGGAATTCTCTGCATGGATTAGCAATTACCGTGAAAAACAGTAAAATAAGTAAACAAACAGTTACTCCTTCTTGGCCCTTTAGGCCAAACTGAAATATGCAACCCTATTTTCTTTCTTTTCAGGCGCAAACGATGCGATTTTTGTCCACCGATTTTGATCGGTAAATAACAATCTTTTTTTTTCATATATCCCGATTGCAGCCTACCAACTAAGAATAGCTTAAAATGGCATCGCGCACGCAAGAATTTAGTCGAACGACAAAAATCGCGTGGTGTGCGCCTGCAGAGACGTGGTACTTACAGGTAACGTAACGATACGAGAGGCTGAAATGTTCTGTCAGGAACCTCGTCTAAGTAATTGTTTGACAAATCCCTTTGAAAAGATTGTTTAAGAATACCAAGATTATTTTTATACATCATTCAAAGATATGTTTGCCTGACAACGCTTCAACTCCCCTGTCGATAATAAGTTTAGGAATGGGTATAAGCTATTATAGCAGCAAACATTCGTGCTTGAAAAAAGCTAGGGTTTGATTACCCAAATAAGAAAGTCTTAAATAAATTGAAATTGAAGATATTGTAAATCTGAAGTGTTGGTAATTTCGAGTTTTTATTAGACGACAACAGCGACACATAACTTACGGAAAAAAAGCTCGTCAAATTAGAAAGCCAAATCTAACTATATTGATGAAAAAAGTGACATGCAAACAAACATTCAATAGTTTGAAGTCGTGCCACGGGTGTTATGGCGAAAGATTGTAAAACAAAAGAGTTTCCTTTTAAATCCTGAAGCACTTTATGTAACCTAAGTGTGATATTTGTTTTTGTGGAAAATATAGAAAGATATTAAAAGCGTTGCTCACAGTTTGTTGTGAAATTTCCACAAACGAGCATGTAACTTATGGTGTGGTATGGCGAATACAACGCGGATATAAAAATGCGAGGCACTCACAGGTATTGTAAGTATATTAGATGTTGAAACGTATTTTCAGGAATTTTGCGAATCTTATTGCTTGAGAAGTCGCTAAAAGAAAAGTTTAAAAAATAAAAACGAGTTTTGCAAACGTTTGAAATTTGACCTCGCATGGAAGATGTTGCACGAATGCTTTCACTATAAAACTTACAAGTATTTAAGATTTTGAAGTCCAGATAAGATCTTATGGTCCAGCCTCTTTATCATATTCATGCTGAGATCTCTAGAAAAATAAAAAAATTAAAATCGTTTTGGTGACATCTAGTGAAAAAATTAATTCAATTGCGTCCACATTATATTTATATCTTAAAAAGATACAATTTCCTTGTTCATAAATTATGCACCTACAGATACTCCAGATGTGTCAGGTTTTTCCAGTCAGCTGCCTGAAGTTTAACCAAAGAATTGTTTGAAAGATTTCTAAGAAAAAAAGTTTGAGTATTTTACCTAAAACACCGTTTTTTACAATGTTCCTTTTCCAATTCCGGTTGGTGTAATTTTTATCTGAATTTAGAATTTAAAGAATTACTGCAACTTTAGATTTCTGTTATACTTTGTTTGAAAGTTTTTACTCTTATAGTTGTTAATTTCTTGTGAATTTACACCATGTTATTTATTTATTTCTAAGCTTTCGGCCCGTGAGCTCGGGCAATCATCGGAGAAAAGTTCAATTACAAACAAACTAAATAAAATAAACTTTTCTCTGATGATGACCAGAGCTCACGGGCCGAGAGCTTAGAAATAAACAAAAAACATGGTGTAAATCACAAGAAATTAACAACACCATGCAAAACATCAAAGAACAGTTTTTATTCTTACATGGCGAATGTTGATGAGGGGAAGTATCCTGGCGTTGTCACTGTAACACGAGCCTCGACAAGAATTCTTGATCTTTTGGGGTCGATATAACAACATCGTAACGCAGGGTGACAATCTATATAGGTTGATTAAATCCGTTGTATTTTAAGTCCATGCTACACGGTGCAATTTTCCTTGCAACTTGCAATGCAATTCTACTTTAAAGAGATGTAAATTAGTGAAGAATTTTTAAAATGTGAGTGCAAGGAGGACCATGGAGCGTGATAAAGATAAAAGTTCGGTAGTTTCCAAATTTGCATGTCTTAAAAAAGGAATTGCACCGTGTAACAGGGCCTTCATTTTTTCTCAATCTATATTTGCGCTTTATGTTAAATGATTCAAAAGAACCTGGGGATTCTGCATGAGTATTTGAATGTATTTTTAATTACATTGGGACGCGTTTAAAGTAGATGAAATATTATGCCTTTTACCATCATTCACCGCTCGGATCACTAATTCGAACGGAGACAAAATATTCCAGCGTCAAGAACTCACCAGGAGCATCGTGAATTTCACCAGACTTCTCAATAATATCAGCTGAAAAAAAAATTGGGCAATTCAAGCTTTTGTTTGATGCACTTACGCAATACGCATTACTGCTTTACCAATATAATAAAATGCAACATTCCATTCAGGGAGCGCGGAAAATCGTTAAGTAAGGGTAATGCTGAACGTGAATGTATGAATTCCCCTCCCCAATTAACGATCTTTACAGCCCCCTGATTCCATACGTCAGAAATTAAAATGCTTTGGCTACATTTAATGACAACGGGAAACTCGTTTGTCATGATCATTCCCAAGGCTATAAGAATCTGACAAATTTATTAAAAAAATTCAAATTGTTTATGCATTTAACCATTGTTGCTGAACACCTCGCAAAAACATTAATCCGTGCTTCAATAACAATTCTTCAAATAAAAAAATTATATTTTATTTTTAAAACCGAGCAGCTGTGTTTATTTTCTTATAGGCTGACGGCGTTTAAAGAAATCAAATTATTTTGTTGGTAAAATTCTCGATCACGTTGTCTGTCAGTTTGGCGTCTTCTGTAATCCTGGGAATAGTAGCTAAATAACTAAATAACGGACCATCGGAAGTATAATTATTAAAAGTAGAAGATATTCACTTTTTGCGTTGCAAAAAATATATGCAAACGAATTGTATAAAATGCTCTATTTTATGGTGTTTTTCGAAAGGTGTTTGAAATTGTATAAATATATATAAGACATGTTTTAGACGTCGAACCTTTCAGGTGCTGGCTGAACCTAATGTTAATGAGCTCAGTAAAGTCTTTGTTCAAGACGTTTATTTGCATTTGATTCGGCTAAAACAGGCCTAAAAATTTAAAATATATATTAAGCATACATAAAAATACTAAGAATTAAAAAGTTTTGGATTGTGAAGTTTTTCAATGACACTAACAATAGTTTCAAATCGTGAAACAAAGTGATCTTTGCAGTAGTCCTCGATTTAGTAGTAAACGACATCTTATTCTGATGTATCCAATCATAAAGATATGGTAATCTTCATTGCTGACCTTCCCACGCATAAGAGGTTTATTAATTTTTAAAAACACTTTAGTATTATAGATGACGTGCAATAAAAAACAGTCTAATTTCTTTAAAAAAAATCCTACCCTGTCCTTTGAGTGTTTCAACCACAGCACAATGAGGTTGTTCACGCAAAGTCAACATTCAAATTCGAAACTCAAATTCTACTTGTGTGCATGCAGTAAGAAAGCTAGCACAGAATTTGATGGCAAAAAATAAAGCGTTTAATGTTTAAAGAGCTAGCATAGGCTGAAGATACTCACAGCAACGTGTTGGAAATCGTGGAAACACATGCCACGATGAACTCGCACCATATTTTTTAGCTGGAATGAGATTCAGCGTCAAAAACGATGTCCCTAAAAAAATCATCGCTAAACGAAAAGCTGTCATGTTTTCTGGCTAAAACTTCCCCTTGCAACTGAAGTTCCATATGCAATTAAATGTTAAGTGATCTGCAGGTGGTGAGAGATTAATGATGAAAGTTTGTAATAATAATATCGATCGTTTCAGGTAATATGAAATGCTACATCATTAGGATGACAGTCAGTGATGTTTCTTTCAATATAATGATCAAATATTCATGATATATATTGTAATGTGGTTATGTTACTCGGAACTCTCATGATTAAAAACATATATATTATGTTACACTAGTAAAATATTAAAAGCAAACTTTTCCAAGCTTTCGGACGAACGCGTACCCTTCCTCTTATAATAGGTTTTAACTTTAGGCTTAATTATTATTGTATAATTATTAATGTATGCACATTTGTAGACCGTATTTAAGGCTAGAATTTGTTTAATTTGTTAATGTATGCACATTTGTAGACCGTATTTAAGGCTAGAATTTGTTTTACGCCAGTTATTCCCTGATGATGGACGCGTTCGTCCGAAAGCTTGGAAAAGTTTGCTTTTAATATTTTACTAGTGTAACATAATATATATGTTTTTAATCATGATATATATTATTACTTGATTGATATTTTATAATTACACATACTGTATGTTTACTTTTCTTAGTTTAATAAATTGTTGCAATGTATTTAATGAAGTAATAATTATTTGGTGGATAACTGCCTTTCAGCTGACTACTGCAGACGTATACCATGGAGAATCGTCACGCGTGTGCCATGATAGGAAATTATGTGGTTTGATCATCTAATAAATCGCATGCATGGCCATTTATTGATCGAAAAATATACGCTAAAATTGAACAGAACGGGTAAACTAGACTTGGGTTAAAACGTAAGTCATGTGAGTTCAGATTGCCGCCTTTTATAGAAATCTTGAAGAAATATTGAAAAAATATTGCTCAAGACTTTCATGAGTCTTGCTCAGGACTTCCACCTCTGATGCGCCTAGCTAGCTGGGATAACTCGCTCCATGCAAACAGGTCCTGATAAAAAGTAAAGTCTATTAGCAAGGGTATTGTGGTATCTGGCGAATCCTACTTTGAAGTCGTATCGATTAATTTATTAGAATTTATAGGGAATTTATAAGCCTAATCCTTATTAATTTTGCCTAATCCGGTAACCTATTTTTAGATATCAACATTACTATGACGACGCCACTTTGCATGGGAGCATGCGCATATCGATTTGCTTTGAGCGGTAATAAATTCCTCATATTTTCAAGAACAGGATGTACAGCTAGCCGATAAAGAAGCTTCTCAAAACATGGTGAAATAAGAAACGTTTAGGTCAGTAATCGCAAGCCATATATTCATATATACTTATAGGAATAGAAATTTAATATACATGTAGCTATGTTATATATAGGTATATATAAAAATTTACAAATCGGAATGACATGGAATATTGTATATCCAAGTAGCATTAATAACTATTCATATAGCAACCCAAGTTATAGTAATGTGGATTGTTAACGTATCGTAATGATGCTAGTTCTGTTCAGTTTGACAAACGTCTTTATTCGGAAACTTGCGTAAACCTACTGTACGAAAGTATTTTTGTTTTGTTTCGATGTTGTTATAATAGAACCGGCACAGACGTGAACTCGCACAGAAAATTTAATTTGTAAATAGCGACAGAAAATTGTTGCAGGAAAATTCTACGCTTCTAGAAGTCGAGCCATCTGCCATTCATCAAGGACATGACATGAATAGTTTACAGAGAATAAATTGCATTCTTTAACAAGATAGTGGTTTGTGTTTTAATATCTTGACGGGTTGTTTCGGTTTCACTATGAGTCTATGTTTATGCGGACTTTGCATATATTAATATCTTAGCCCTTAATTTCTTTGCGAGCATTCGACATGAGTTTATATCCCCGGTATGACTATACTAGAAGGCAGGTTATATGCATGTATACGAAGTTACCATTTGTCATGAATAGCCCTTATTCGCCGTTTTCTCAAGTGAGTGAAATATGTATGTATTTTTGTAACGCTTGTTGGTTTCAAGGAATTTCAACATGGGGAAAACCCTGATTTGCATCTCAATTGCATATTATGACATCATGGTGCAGTTTTGAAAAGAAGTTGCTATGCACTATCGCTAGGAGACATAAAGATATTCAACAACAATTTAATTTTGGAATTATATCTCAAAGAGAGAATTCTGTGATTCAGTTTTGAAAAGCAGTTGCTAATGCTGTCATAGGAGACATAAACATTTGCAAATTTCAGATTTCAAATTTTTGAAATATCTCAAAATCATTTCATTCGGTTAGGTTTCGGCGAGTGTTTCAAAGTGATCACGTCATCTAAATACGGAAACCATGAATTAAGTATAATTGTTTATTATGTTTGTGTACGTACTGGTTCGTAACTAAGTTAGTGATTCCTAAAACCTACATTGTCACAGAAATTACAAAATAGATGATTAAATATGTTTTCGGAGTCAAGTTCGCCTGCCTGGAGTTCGTTCTTCTATAATGAACAATAGTAATATCATCATTGTTGCTAAGGCCGATCTTCGGTGCGATATTCTTCTCTTGATTGATGTAAACATGCGAATAGTTATGAATGCTTCATGTATATTAAATGTCTAAGGTATTTGTGCCTTTATTTACCTATCAGTTGGGTAATAACTCCGCGTTTAGTAAATCCTTCAATACGCGAGTTTAGGCTTTCAAATTAGGTTAGGATTATAGATTTAGGATCAGCTAGGATTTACCCTAATCAGCAACAAACCTATTTTAAGACTTAATTCTAATCCATATTCTAACTGAATCTCAAGGATTAAATTCGCATACTACATTGGATTAAATAAAAATAGAAATTAAACCTTTTTCACATCCATCAAAAGTAGAACATCTTATTTAAAACTGACGCAGCGAAAATTGCAAGTGTAAATGGGCTTTTACAGATGGAGATATCTTTTACTCGTTTAGGTTTTAGCTGCCATAAGATTATGGCGAGTGGATATAATAGCTATAGGCGCGGATATAGTTCGCGCGGTTGGGGACGAGGAAGAGGCGGCCGAGGCAGAGGCGGTCGGGGACGACCGTTTAACGGAGGAGGCCGATCAGGTGGTAACGTCGTATTTGGATTTAACGCACTTAACAAATTGCGGGAAGAAGATCCGGATAACATTGTTTTAGATTTAGCTTCGGAACGATGTCTCCCAGCGTTTCAAAACCTTTTAAACAACCCTAACATGACGGACGATATGATTGAACTGGTTGTTAATGTGCTCGCCAGAGCTTGCGATAGCAACAGTCCGGAGTATTTTAATAAACTTCTTGTCGAGCTGCATAAATCTTTATTTGTTATGCTCACCTTAAAACGCCACATAACAAAATTGGGTTTCCGAGGAGACCCAAACGCCAATTCTCAGTTGTTCATTGAAAACACAGTCAGGCTATTCACGGAAATTCTCAAACGAATACCAAGCTCGTGTGACTACCTTCCCTTGGCCGACCTAGAGCAAGCCGTTGCTATGCTGACAAGGATGGGTCGAATTAGCGCCGACGTTTTAGAAGGTGTTGAACAGCTCAAAGTTATCAAACAAGAATCTCTTGAGAAAGAAATACGTAAGAGAGAGATTGAAAATCAAAGACAAATGCGAAGTCGTCACCCAGGTTTGTTAATTGATGTGTTTAAGGCCCGTTTTCACTTGCGATGTTTGATAGATGTGAACGAGTAATAAGTCACAAATGGTCTGGTATGTACGAGATCCTATTTTAACTTCCGTAATTAATTCACTCGTTCACATCTATTAAAAGAAGAGAATAGCACACATATAGAATCGCACCAAAATTTGCAAGTTTGAACGGGCCCTTATACAGTAATTTTGCATTCTTGTCACGAATTTTTGTGTGATTGTTATTTCTGTTATTACATTTAAATCACGGGTAATAATAGCATGATACTATAAAAAGTTTTTGTCTTTGAAAAAGTCATTTTGAACAGTTTGTGCAAACTTGTTTGAATTCACCTAAAGGCATCGACGCTGTGGGTCCACCGCCTGAAGATTTCCGAGAAATGACAATAATTCCCCATCATGACGACATCTTCACGGAAAAAGCGCCGTATCTTAGAAAGAATATAATCCAAGGAGCCTATCAGGACCTGAACCATTACCTGGACGTTCAATTTCGGCTGCTGCGAGAAGATTTCCTTCGTCCTTTGCGAGAAGGTATTCTAAATCTTGTCAATCAAGGAATCGACCAGAGACAAGGCTTGTTCAAGGATATACGGATGTACAGAAATGTTAAAATTCTGTATCCCGTATGCTCAAACAAGGGGCTACGTCATCAGATTCAATTTGATAATTCAAGGTTGAAGCGTGTCAAGTGGGAAAACAGCAAGAGGCTGATCTTCGGCTCTCTTCTCTGTCTCTCCAAAGACAATTTCCAAACGCTTATTTTTGCGACAGTCGCCGACAGAGACCTCAGGGAACTTGCATACGTAAGATATTTGAATTATTTCAAAAATGATGAGATAGTAATTGTATTTATCATTAAGAGAACTTTCGAGTGAATTTGGTTGCAAAAAATATAAGAAAGAGTATTGTTTCTGTTGTTCTTCTCAAGCAACAAGCTGTCTTGTATAGGTGAAGCTAACTATATATATCCTAAAGTATGCTTTACGGGTTAACTGGAATTAGTAACTCACATTAAAAATAATTTTAGTGTGTCAGCTTAAAACTGTTAGAATTCAATGCGCAGTGCAATATTATGTTCTCGATGCGTTCAGTAATATAGGCAAAAACAGGACATACGATTAGCCTAAGTAAAGTGTTGTTTAGCTGAAGAAAAAAACATGTCAACATCTAAAGGCCAATTTTATTTTTTTACGAATTTTATCCAAGGTGCATAAGCCATATCCGGCCAAGCGTGCCTCAAATAATGTATATTTCTTGTAATTACAGGGTAAAATTACGGTGCAGTTCATGGACTTGACGATTGATTTACAAGATTTTTCGCGCAAAAATGTGTACCAGATGGTCGAAACAACTGCGTATTTTGAAGCCTATAGCCCCATCTTAGAAGGACTGCAAAAAACAGAGGACAACGATTTGCCATTTCAGGTTAGCAGAAAATGGAATTTGACTTTTTTCAGCGTTAATTGCTTATTACAAAAATTCTATAATCCGTAGAAATGAAAAAATTGAAAAATATTAAAAATGAAAAATTTATAAACTAATTTTATTGGTGACGAGTTTGGGTAGTGAAGGACTATTTTCAAAGACAAATTCACTATGCAAACTTGACCCATCCATTGATCCGACTAAATGTTATGCTCAGACGGATTTAGGAAATGAAGTATAAGATATCAAACGAGGAAAATTGGATGATAATGTATTTCAATCACGATACACAAAACTAACGCAAGCCCTAAACTGCATATAGGATTATGTTGAATGATTGTGATGCATGCAGTACTCAATAATTCGAGCCCTATTTCTTCCTAACAAACTCGGCAAAACGTTTTATATCTTTCACTTAGAGATACCTTGTTGATTGTAACAAAGACATACAAGCTCCACAATACGTCAGACGAAATCGTTTTAGTTTAAATGCGCCAAGCTTTGACTTCTCTTCGATTTTATTGGACAATGCTTCATCGCCTGCAACATCAAGTTTGCACAGGCAACTTGAAGGCCTTCGCTTACATGATTTTTTTGCGTATGGTGAGTTCACTTCTAGCTTTATCGGCAAATTTGTGGTTAAAAATATTTTAATGCTAATAACACGTTTCACCTGTCAGGGTACCGTTCTCACCAGAGAGCTGCGCAGTCTCAAAATGTCCCAGTTCTTGATGTAGACCGCTGGCCAAGTATGGAGCAGTTGGGCCTCGATGAGTCTCAGTACAAAGCACTGAAGATTGCTCTAACAAGAGAAGTTGCCGTCATTCAAGGCCCACCAGGAACGGGGAAGACATTTCTGGGCCTAAAGGTTAGAATTACGTGTAACACATAGAGACAGATCATAGACACACATAGATCCTTCCATGGAAAGATAAATATCTTCTTAAAAATGAGCTGAAGAGAAAGATTTGGTGTGGCAGGCAAATTAATCTATTGCAGCATTCGAATTAAGCTTAAGTCTTCTCGCTTATATAGATAGCGAAACTATTGCTTAACAACACAGAAACATGGATCCACGGGGAGCAGACGATGGTCGGAAGACAGCGGCAAGTTAGTCGGACACCGATACTTGTTATTTGTTTCACGAATCACGCGCTTGATCAGTTCTTGGAAGGTATCTACGACTTCTACGGCAACAACGAAGACAAAATTGTTCGTATCGGTGGACGCAGCAAAAGCGAGAAGCTCAAGGATTGTAATTTGAAAGCTATCAAAGAAAAAAGCAATAAAAGAGGTCCTAGATACGTGGGAAGAGGCATTGCCGAAGTGCATTCAAAACTTGACAATGTCAAAAGTATGTATTACTTCTACTGTATTTAAAGGTGGGGTGAATGACTGTATTTCCTGGCTGTCAGGAACAATCAGGATTTTAAACTCTTTCTTAGTTCGCTAGCTATAGTTGTAAATGAACGTGAACTGGAGTTTTAACTTCAGAACAAAAAGGAAAAATGCTACATTTCAGCAATTTTAAATCGAATAGCCAGCCTAATATTATGAGCAAAACCCGTCTTAAACCTGGCTGTCGATCTTGAGTGTAACTTGTAAATCGGACAGCGCGTGAATATACCTTTCAATAATTGAAAATTACCATGAATATACCTTTCGGTTGAGAACTGTGGATCCTTTTTCATCGCGCAGCAAGTAGCCTTATCTGGGTCCTTTCTACGTAAAGGCTGCGTTTGCACAGGTAAAATCAGGTAAGGTAAGGTAAGGTAAGGTAAGGTAAGGTAAGGTAAGGTAAGGTAAGGTAAGGTAAGGTAAGGTAAGGTAAGGTAAGGTAAGGTAAGGTAAGGTAAGGTAAGGTAAGGTAAGGTAAGGTAAGGTAAGGTAAGGTAACTGTAAGGTCTGGTTTAACGGACCAAAAGCACTGTACATAACAAAGGGGTGTTTCTACAAACTGGTAATTTCTTTCCGATAGCCTGATGTTTTGTATATTAAATTAGAAAAAATGGAGATTTCTTCGAACGTGATAAGAAAATGTTGGCAAAACGTCTTGTACGAGAGGACATTACAAAGAACTGGAGTGGTTAAAGAGCATCATTTCTTATCTCTCATGAGACCATTCATGAGATTTGGCGGTGGACAGCCAGAGCAGGGTTCCGTCGTTTTACAATGGCTTAACCTTGTCGCCGGGGAAGAACTAGTGGAACAAGGTAAGTTCATTAAACAACCTCAACAACAAAGTTTACAGTAGTCAACTTTACAGTAGTATAACTGTGTTTTTACACGCAGTTTTAATATATAGTTTGAATTTTTGTGTCTCGTTAACGCGATTTCTTTTCTATAATATGTTACAGAAGAGTTGGTTGTTGTCAGAAAAGAAGACACATTTAGCTTTAATGGAAGAAAAGTGCTGATATGTGAAAATGTACCACTAGCAAACGTCGATTTTTCATTCTACGTAAATATCAAGACCGCACAAGCTGGGAACATTCTCAGCGTCATGCCAGAAAATCGAAGATGGTTGAACGAAAGTAAAGCTCTCTGTGTTGATGAAACAGGCATTGTGAAGTTTATTTTCGGAGAGAACATCGTATGTGAGAGTTATTCTCGTGTAGATGACGATAAATGGCACGAAATTGGGCTGGTTTACGCGCAGGAGGAAAAAAGGTACTTTCTTCTTCAATTTCAAATTAAAACATGGGCGAATAGTTCATCAAGACATTAAAGACATCCCCAAAATTTTTCTATTGTAAAAAAGCAGAAAGTAAAGATTGGCAGCCTCGGACGTATAGGATAGAAAATTATATAGCTCTATAGAGTTATTTCTGTATTAAAAATGCACTTCAAACATTTTGATTGCCCCAACTCCAAAGGCAAAGCTACAGTCGTTCAGACTGTTCCCAAAAAAATATACGCACGGGCAGATAAAACAGATAATATTATAGGCGGATAAACCAAATATAATATAGAAAGATAATCCAGATAATATTATAGGCAGATAATCCAGATAATATTATAGGCTGATAATCCAGATAATATTACAGGCAGATAATCCAGATAATATTATAGGCAGATAATCCAGATAATATTATAGGCTAATAATCCAGATAATATTATAGGGTAATAATCCAGATAATATTATATAGGCCGATAACCCAGATAATGTTATGGGCAGATAAACCCGATAACATTATAGGCTGATAACCCTGATAATATTATAGGCTGATAATCCAGATAACTTTATTGGCAGATAATCCAGATAATATTATAAGCAGATAATCCCGATAATGTTATAGGCAGATAAAACAAATTAATGCTTTGCACAAATTAACGCACACGATCAAAGAATAATAAAGTTTGTTAAAGTTATATATTGCTCCTCATCTAGCCTTGCTTTGTATGTCGACAAACGAATAGAACGTGTAATAAATCCAATTCAACTCCCAGAAGAGAATCAACAGTACAAGCTGAAGATTGGCTTAGCTCCGTTAATCTCGAACCACGAAATGCAAAATTTTGTCGGTTCGGTGACGAATTTTGTGTATTACTATAGCACGAAATATAACGAAATGGTCAGGGGAGACGGTAAGTGCATATTATTATAGACCGAGCATTAACAATTCACAGCGCGTCGAGAATTTCCCCGAATAGTTTAAAAAATAGCGACCCAGTGGGCTTTACGAAAAATAACCTCCATTTGTTCAGTCAGAAATGATATAAATTAGGATTGAGACTAATTCAATTTTTTTATATCTCCTTCAGCTCTTGATTTTATATCTCCTTCAGCTCTTCAGCCTCTTCTTTTAATAATGAGAGTATCGATTGATTTATCGATTGATTTATCGATTGATTTATTATTTCCGTTGTTCCTATGAACACAAAACTTTAAATCAAAGTCTTTAATCGCCTTTTCTCGGTTGTTTGACAGCCGGTTGACTAAATGAGCTACGACCTTGAGCATGCATGATGCTAAAACATGGTATTTTTGTCATAGAGAATGTGGAATACGAGATTAATTTCATGCAAGACCAAAGAAGAATAGATGACGGAGATGACACACCTAACAAGCAAGATGTTCCCGTACCTGACGATTTCGACGTGGTCGACCCTTCCAAATTGGCCCAGGGATCTGGCGGATGGCAAGTGCAAGATAAAAAGCGAGCAAGAAGTAGAATTGTTTTCCAAATAAAAAAGCAACTTCAGAGCGAGGATGTGATGACAGACGCCGAGGAGATGCGTATTCGCGACGTGTGGGAACTTTCGGTGAATAATCGCTGGCGTCTGTATCGTAAATGGGTGAGAGAAATCAGTCAACAGCACCAAAACACGATAGCAAGCATTCAAGACGAGTATAATCGAGGAATGAAAGAACTACAGGAGTTATATAACGCTCGGGATTACGAGCTTCTCCGAGAGGCACACGTGATAGGAATGACAACAACTGGTAAATACCTCAACTCTATTGATTATTACGCACATGCTCTGCCAAGTGTCATTGTCCAAAAAACCCTTGCCTGATTTATCAGTACGTTATTGACAAATGAACGGCATTTCATGTTGGTAATTTCAATACAGCTTTAAAGCCAAAGCGCCCAAAAGTACCATATGAAATCTAGCCTCAAGTTTCGAAAACAATCTTTTCGCGAATTCTAAGGTTGTTGAGGGCAAAACAAACATCGTTCTTATGGGAAAGAAACTATAAAAGGTTCCGTTTCTTCTTGTTCTGCTTGACTATTACCATTTCAATTTAATCATTACACAATAGGCCTTTAAATCTTTTGCCTTTTGTTATGGACTGATACATGGAAGATATCTTTTTTTGTTTCTCATATTAGGTGCGGCAAAATATCGCAACCTTTTACATCGTATTAAGCCAAAGATAACGATTGTCGAAGAAGCCGCCGAGGTTTTGGAATCTCACATAGTAACGGCGTTAACAGGAGGATGCGAACATCTCATTCTGATTGGAGATCACAAGCAATTGAGACCAAAGCCCACTGTGTTTCAACTGGGATTGGATTATCAACTGGATATCTCTCTTTTCGAAAGAATGGTTGAAAATGGTAAGTGACTTAGCCTCACTAAAGAAGGTCCTGATATGAATTCGATGTTTTATTTTACACGAGCAATCATGCATTGTCCATGCTGTCCGTTCACTCGAAGAATTTCCACCATTCCAGTATTCGCGGATGTCTGATTTCCTCTGATGTCTCATTTCACTAAAAAAAGGTTTCCGAAGAATTAGTGAGCCATAAAATACTCGTTGTTGATAAGAAACTTCTCCCCTCATCTTTTTTACAGCAGGCGTTAAACCTCATCCTTAAAAATATTTGCTATTCACTTATTGAACTCATTCTTCCGCTGAAATGTGCAGAATTACTTGTGCAAATGCGACACAGTGGAACGTGGTTGGTTGGTTGTTTGCTTGGTAACAGTGCTCCAAATGCGTCTGTGTGTCATCATACATACATGAGTTCTGTGAAAAGTTATTCGACTGCTGCGTTTCGTGTAATAACACGTTTAGAATAAAGTATTTAATTTTTTTATATAGGTATGCCTTTTGCATGTTTGCAAGCTCAACACAGAATGCGTCCCGAAATTTCAGTGATGATGGGTCCGATCTACGACAACTTGATCGACCATGAATCCGTTCTGAATTTTGAAACAATTAAAGGGATCAACAAAGATATCTTTTTTGTAGATCATCAATTCAAAGAGGTAGAAGTTTGTTACATTTAGTTGTTACGTTACTGTGTTGTGTCCATGTTTGTAATTGTTTGCTTGCTCCTAGCCAAGAGAATTTTAATTGGCCGAGCGAAAAAGTATGATCTACAACGTCACTTGCAAAAGCTCAAACTCTAAGTAATCTGGAGCTGTAGTGCCCAAGCACTAAACGCGAGATTCGAACATTTCTCACAAATTTTCGCTGTTTGTTTTGAATTGAAATATTACAACAGATCAATAGATACTTCAAGCCAATGTTTGTCCGTAAACCAAACAAGTACAAACGTTAAAAAAAATATCTTTTTTTCCATTTAGGATGCTCTGGACGAAAATCAAAGCCACTCGAACATTCACGAGGCCAAATTTATCGGTGCTTTGTGTCAATACCTACTCCAGCAAGGCTATCCTCCATCCCAAATTACCGTGTTAACGCCCTATAGCGGACAGCTATTTCAATTGAAAAAGTTTGTACCCCAAAAAGAAGGTCTTAGAGTATGCGTTGTTGATAATTTCCAAGGCGAAGAAAATGATATCATCTTGCTTTCACTGGTTCGGAGCCAGGTGATGACGACGAAGGAGAAAAGAGAGATTCGCAGATTGATCGGTTTCCTCGCAATTGACAACCGTATTTGCGTGTCTTTGTCGAGAGCGAAAAAAGGTTTCTTTTGCATTGGGAATCTAACCTTGATGAGAGCAGCAAACGATCTTTGGTCGGAAATTCTTGACGACATGGAAAGAAGAGGTTGCGTAGGAACATCTCTGCCATTGGCGTGTCAGAATCACCCCAAAACCATAACGCATGTCAGTAACGACGTAGATTTCAAGAAAGCTCCAAACGGTGGCTGTAACGTGCTTTGTGGAGCCAGATTGGCTTGTGGGCATAGCTGCGAACAAATGTGTCATCCAACTGATCCTTTCCACGAAGACTACGATTGTAGAAAAGCCTGTGCAAGAAAATGTGCGCTCGGTCATCCATGCAAACGGCGTTGCTATCAAGAATGCAGTAAATGCATGGTTGAAGTCTACAAGAAAGTTCCCCAATGCAATCACATCCTTGTGATGGCGTGTCATCAGGATCCCTCTAGCTTTTTATGTACCAAGCCATGCCCAAAAAAGCTTCCCTGTGCAGGTGCCCATAATTGTCCAAAAAAATGCGGAGAAGCCTGTGCAAGAGAATGCAAAGAATTGGTACCAAAAAAGTGGACTCCATGTGGCCATACGTGCAACACTCCATGTCATACCGACCCCACGAAAATTGGTTGTCCACAACCTTGTGGAGCGTTGTTGAAGTGCGAGCACATCTGCACAGGTATGTACTGAATATATTCTATCAACTTTCTCAAGTGATTTTTTTCACTTGGTTTGGTAAAAGGCGGAAACTCGGATAAATCTATGTTTCTACTTGTTAAGGGCATTGCTTCGGAATTGCAGACGCGAATTTGCAGGGTTCGTCTCAAGCCCGTTGCACACGACAGCTATCTGCTGAGCTAGCGTAAGTAAGTTCCCCCAGCTTTTGTTCACTCGTGCCATGTGCATCGAATATTCAACATGTTCAATAGTTTGGTATACGAGCGCATATAGTTCCCACACGTGTGCGCCGTGCGGGCAAAGACTTTCTGCGGTGAAAAAGCCAACGAACATATGCAAATATGTGTATGCATATTAGCGTGTTATTGCACTATAAAGGTCTGTTCACACTATCCAATTTTGTAGGATCTAAATCACTTCTGATGGATGTTTCAGAGTTATTTTGGAGTTTTAGAGTTCAAATCAAAGTTCTAGAGCAAATTGACTGAAGCAAATGCGCTACTGCTTTATTAATAACCGACTATATTCCATACGTGAGAAGTGAATTGGATCCAACTCAATTGGATCGTGTGAAAAGACCTTAATATTAAAATATCCACCGTGTAAAAATGACTTATTTGAAAGATAAGATTACTACAGTTTTCATGTTGCTTCTAGGCACATGTGGTGAATGCAAACAAGGACGGCTTCACAAACCTTGTTCTTCGAAATGCGACCGCCCGCTTTTTTGCGGTCACAAATGCAAAGTGCCGTGCACAAAGAATTGCCCGCCGTGTCCGGAAAGATGCCAAAACAGATGTTCGCACAGCAAGTGCCAAAACGCATGCGGAGAAGAGTGCAAGGAATGCAATGAACCTTGCCAGTGGATGTGCAAACATTTTGCATGCAAAAAATTATGCGGGGAAATGTGCGACCGGCCTCGCTGTGACAATCGGTGCCACAAAAGATTAAAATGTGGACACAAGTGTGCTGGTCTGTGTGGTGAACCATGCCCAAAGAAATGTCTTGTTTGTGACAAAGACGAGTTGACAGAAATTTTCTATGGCAACGAGGATGAAGAAGGTGCTAGGTTCTTGGAGCTTGCTGATTGTGGTCACGTTTTTGAAGTTGAAGGAATGGACCAATACATCGATACGCAGGAAAAGGAGATGAAGAGCGGTCAATCGACAAGCATACAGATGATCAAGTGTCCGAAATGTCAAACAGCAATACGAACAAGTTTACGATATGGTGTGTGGCCTAAATTATGTCATTAATTAGACGTAATTTGTTATAACGCGCGACTGAAGCTAATTGGGTTTTATAAATTTAAAAATAATTTCTTCATATTTCCTGCTTCGATTGAGGACAATCTTACTGCTCTTTATTTATACAACAATTCAAGAAGATCGCTTTCATCTACACATATTTACACTCATAATCCCACAGAATCAATGTAGGAATAAGTCGGGTTACTTGAAGGTGTTTCCTGTGCGGAATAATAGCAACAAGACAAAAAAATTAAAACTCTTTTGACACAAAGCTATATAGAAGTGCATGCTATCAAATCTTTGCTGTGTTGTCTGTTTGGGGTCCGTTGATAGGAGCCTAGAGTACGTAAGAATAATTACTTTGATGTAGTTCAATTAAAAAGTCGACGTTCAAAGTTATAGTCTGGCCAGGTTAATAATAGCTCGATGATTTTGTTGTCTTTTTAAGGAAACATCGTGAAGAAAATTCTTCGGGACTTTGAAGATGTTAAGATGGCAATATCCCGTCAATCTTCCACTCCCATCTTTTGCGAAAAAATAAAACGAGATATCGCAGCTCACGAATTAGAAACACAGTTTCCAACAGAAGTTTTGAAAATCAAAGAAAAGTTGCGACTTCGAAGATACCCGCCTCAGAACTTAACCAACGAAGAACAAAACATCATTGAAAATCAAGTTCAGTTCCTGAAGTTCATGACCAAGTTGAAGGATGTCATGGTACAAGCGAAATCAATCAAAAGAAAGCCGAGTCCTCTTTCTGCTCGGGGACATTCTCTTTTTCAACTTAACATAGGAACTGAAGCAGATGATCAAGAAATAAAATCGATGAAGTGTGAACTGGCAGAACTTTTGCGATGGGTGATGAAAGATCGTCTTCGATTTAGCGAACAAGAACTGGAAGACTTCAATGAAGAGCTCCAACGCGCTTTGCTGATGTTTTCCTACCTTGCCTTAACATTAGAAATAAGAAAAAGCCAAATCATCTTAACGTCTGACGAGACAAGATATTTAGAATACGTGAAGAAGAACCTAGGAAAATCTGGAAAAAAATTGAGTAAGTTTGAGTAATTTAGTACGGTTACTTCCAATTCCGCCAAACTGAGTTTCAAATCAGTTCGAACCACAGCGTGCTCGAACCCATAGCTGCTGGATACGGGGAAAAAACTAGAGGATTACCTATTTTTGTAACAAAAAAAAATAACAAAAACTTTCCCGCCGTACTAATGCATTATTATTTCAGCGGCCTTTTGGCCGGTCCTATTTACTTCATGTATTTTTACTCTTAATACTCAAAGCTAATTAATGCGTTCAACGGTAAATGTTCTTGTTCCGTAACAAATTGTATATTCTGATTTGAAGTTAATCAACAAATTTAAGTAAAATGACCAAATATACAACAATATTTATTTCTGTATGTACGAAGTTTTGGGACGCACCATGCAGTTACTAACTCATGAAAAAGAGCGGTGTTTTCAGTTTTCATCCAAATATAACACAACTGAAATGTGTTAAAGTCTGTACAATTAATCGTGCGCGTAGATGCCGCGAAAATATAAAAATTATAATCGGGTATGTATATATTTATTAATACAGGTGAAGAGATAAAAGATGGGTGCACAAGGCGTCTTAAGTACCTTACACAGAAGAAAGCACTTGGTGTGAAGTACACCGCCGTTACTGAGGAAGAAAAGTCTATTATTGTCAAAGCTATGGGTCTCGCTCAGGGCCACTGGTTTAAATGTCCAAAAGGTAAATGAACAATATTATATTATCTATTTCATAAACGAGAAGAAAGTAGTACGTTTTGTGTCTACAGACTGAATTTAAAATACACAAATGATTTGAAACTTTGCAAACGGCTAGCCTCGTTCTTGCACTCTTTGAAATAGATTTATCACGTTGTCTTTCATGACAAAAAAAAAACTTTGTTGACTCAATTTAGGGCACATTTACTGTATTGCGGACTGTGGTGGAGCAACCCAAGAATCGCAGTGTCAAGAATGTGGATTACGAATTGGTGGTACAAATCATCGCCTTCGATCTGACAACAGTTTAGCATCAGAAATGGACGGTGCAAGATATGCGGCGTGGTCTGACACAGCCAACAATATGGCCAACTTTGATCTCCGTCTATTGAGATAATGATGATCGCAGCCTACAAACTTTCGCTTTGCGTATACTAGCTAGCATACACTTGCGCACATATTTAACACACTTTTGAACATTAGGCCAGTAATATTTTGAAAACTAATATACCTAAACGTTTATTCCCTTCTGACTCAATGGCTCGATATTGTACTAGGTATTGAAGCACACGTTTCAGGGACGCACTAGCGCAATAATTCGATCGGGACCACATATTCATGCACATAATTATTCAGTTCTGCGCAACGAATATTTTTTGAAAGAGCAATCGCCCGCAAAAGAGGTACAATAAAGCAGAAAGATAGAATACATAAAATCAATCTTAGAAATAAGAGCTTAGAAATAAACAAATAACGTGGTGTAAATCACAAGCAATTAACAACACCATGCAAAACTTCAATGAACAGTTTTTATTCTTACATAGCGAATGTTGATGAAGGGAAGTATCCTGGCGTTGTCACTGGAACACGAGCCTCGACAAGAATTCTTGATTTCTTGGGGTCGATATAACAACATCGCAACTAAGGGTGACAATCTATATAGGTTGATTAAATCCGTTGTATTTTAAAGTCCATGTTACACGGTGTAATTCTTCTTGCAGCTTGCAATGCAATTCTACTTTAAAGAGATGTAAATTAGTGAAGAGCCCTTAAAATGTAAGTGCAAAAAGCGCCATGGAGCGTAATAAAGACAAAAGTTCGGTAGTTTTCAAATTTACATCTCTCAAAAGAAGAATTGCAGCGTGTAACAAGGCCTTCAATTTTTCTCAATCTTGATTTGCGCTTTATGTTAAATGATTTAAAAGGGCCTGGGGATTCCGCATGAGTATTTCAATGTATTTCTAGTTACATAATTGGGACGTAATCCATTAGGAGTAATAGATTAATGAAATAACGGACCATCGGTTTTTGAACATTTGAGACAGACGTAAAAAGTAATTTTCTAGATATGTCAAGAACTGTGTAAAATACAATCATTTGCTGATTTTTATAAAAATTAAACAAGAAACGGAGAAAAAAACTCAGTTTGCAGCTTAAATTTTTGGCTTCAATCAAATATTACGCTGAACTATTGGAGTTAGGTTCCAGGATTTATTACAGATTATTGCGATGACGCCACTTTGTACGTGGGCATGCGCATAATCAGACTCCTGATATTTCGAGAACAGGATGTATTGCTCGCGAACGTTGATGAAGAAACTTCTGATTATGCGGTAGAAAATATCAAACGATTGGTAAGTAATCGTAGTATATTCAAATATTTAAAAATGGAAATGTAATATATACATATGGAATATTATATCTGAGTAACAGTCTAGGTTTAAATATTTAAATCGGTAACTATTCATAGCAACTCAAAATATAAGCAGAGCTTTATTTAACGTGATGATACTGGGTTCTGTACGGCGTAGGCTAGCTTATAATCAAGGGAATAATATAATGGCTTATAATCAAAGGAATATGATCGAAAATCTTTATTCGCACACATCTGGGCAACGTAACGTACCAAGGGATTTTTGTTGATTTCGATATTATTGCTAATATTATATCGATCGGCAGAACTTACGCAGATGTGAACTCGCGTGATGAATTTAGTTATTACGTGTAAACAGAAAATAATTGCCGGAGAAGCAGAGCTATCCCTTAGGTTTTTATTGTTTAACGTTCGTATGGTTTAAAGAGTATAGATCGTATTCTTCGAAGAGATTGAAACTTGCTTTGAAATATGTTGACGCCGGGTGGTTTCGGTTTCAATATGTCATAGACATAGTTTACATATTTTTTTTATATTAATTTTTTACAAGTTCCGTCACGAGAATCCGGTATTAATAGTTATTCCGGGTGTCGGGGTGTGCCCACAAGAGTTGATGTATATGAAGTTATACATAGTCCTTATACATCTTTAATATCGCAGAGTTAGTGCATGTTAGCGATAGGCGATTGTCGTTTGCTGAGCATTGCCATTGTGGCGTGTTTTGCTTCGAGAAATTCAACACGGGGAAAACCCTTATTTGCATATCAATTGAACTATGAGACATCATAGCAGGATTCCGAATAGCAATGAACTATTCATTCATTAAACTAAATGTTCGACTAGGATATTCCCAACTAAATGCATATAAGATCCATTGATTGCAGCTTATGCGCAATTGCCCAAATATATATCTAGGCAACAAGAAGGGATTATATTATCACAGCTACAAAGAGCATACTGAAATGGTATAATTACAAAATCAGTTAGTCCCTAACTTTTTTAAAATGCGGAAAATATAGCCATGCGAAGTTGGCAAATTTTGTATACTTTTGTATTACGTGCGGAGATGTGCAACTAATTAGCTAGACACTCCGATACAAAAGTGTCACAAAATTTGCCAACTTTGCCTTGCACTACAGGGACAAGGAAGGACTTTGTTGTAAACTAATCGGAATATTTCTTTACATTTTTCAGGCAAAACCAATCAAAATCGTTAAATTTTTAATAATGGTAAAATGGTAAATAATGTACCTTTTTATCGGAAGTAGCGAAAATTAACGCATTCTGATTGGGTTACTGAAAATGCAAACAAACTTGCTGATTGGCTAAATCGAATGTTTTTTACTCGTTTAGGATTTAGCTGCCATTACGACCATGGCGAGTGGATACGATAGGCGCGGACATGGTTCGCGCGGACGAAGGAGAGGGGGTAGTGGACGAGGCGGTCGTGGACGAGGCGGTCGGGGACGACCGTTTAACGGAGGAGGCCGATCAGGTGGTAACGTCGTGTTTGGATTTAACGCGTTAAACAAGTTGCGTGAAGCCGATCCGGATGACATCGTTTTAGATTTAGCTTCGGAACGATGTCTCCCGGCGTTTCGAACCCTTGTAAACAACCCGGACATGACAGACGATATGACTGAACTGGTTGTTAATGTGCTCGCCAGAGCTTGCGATAGCAACAGTCCGGAGTATTGTAATAAACTTCTTGTCGAGCTGCATAAATCTTTATTTGTTATGCTCACCTTAAAACGCCACATAACAAAATTAGGTTTACGAGGAGACCCAAACGCCAGTTCTCAGTTGTTCATTGAAAACACAGTCAGACTATTCACGGAAGTTCTCAAACGAATACCAAGCTCGTGTGACTACCTTCCGTTGGCAGACCTGGAGCTAGCCGTTGTTAAGTTGAGCAAGACGGGTCAAATTGGCGCCGATGTCATTCAGAATGTCGAACAATTTAACGCCATCAAACAAGAATCCCTCGAAAAAGAGATACGCAAAAGAGAGCTGGAAGAGCAAAGACAAAAACGAAGTCGGCAGCCAGGTTTGTGACGAATTTGTTATGCGATAATTCTTCGTAAAAATTAATATTCTTTGTGATCTAGCTGTTAGAGTGAGATACCGTGTGCACAGACGTCGTTTGAAAGCCCACAGTAATAGACCTTTCTTTATAATGACGTCAAACGCTGAAAGTCCGTTGTTACACGAAATTTGATTGGCTCCACAAAACTGTCGAGCCAATTAAACTTCGTGTAACATCATACTTTCCTCGTTTGACGTCATTATGGAAAAGGTCTATTGTTTTTCCATGCAATAAAAGTTTTATATAACCGCATTCCTCTGATTGTTAAATCCCCTAAACTATCAACAATGTTTGTATGAAGAGACATGTGCCTGAAGTATGATGATATTATTGCTAGCTAAGTTTAAAGCGCTTATACTATGATTGCGGATTTTGAATAATATCAAACGTTTGTCCGGTCATGCACTTTAAAGAGTAATAAATCTATCAAGACAAGATTTTTCACTAACAAAATGTATTGCAAAGTTTTATAAAAATACCTTAAACTTTTGATACATTCGTGCAAAATCCGCAACCATGGTATAGGCACGTTAAAATGCTGATCTTAAATCTTACGATTTTCCTTTTCATATAACTATGTTCGTTACCAGGACCGACAATTTAACTAACAATTTTCAACCAAAAATCGATATGTAAACGGGATTTCCAACCAATCAGTTTTCATACAGTCCAATAAAAGTTGCTGTTGCTTGCAAGTTGCTGTTGGAAGTTGTTCCCTTAGACCAAGGAGCCTAAAACTTTATGACTTGCCATTTTTTCTCGAGTTCATGCACGAAAAGTGAAATTTGAGATAATCTTGTCATAGTTCACACAACTAGCTTATGACTAATCTATAGCTTGAATTCACTTCAAGGCGTCGAGGCTGTAGGTCCACCGCCTGAGGATTTCCGAGAATTGACAATCATCCCCGAACACGATGACATTTTCACCGAAAGGGCACCGTATCTTAGAAAGAATATAGTCCAAGGAGGCTATCAAGACATGAACCATTATTTGGACGTTCAATTTCGGCTGCTGCGAGAAGATTTCCTTCGTCCTTTGAGGGAAGGCATTCTGAATCTTGTCAATCAAGGAATCGACCAGAGAAAGGGCTTGTTCAAGGATATTCGGATGTACAGAGATATTAAAATTCTATATCCTGTGTGTTCAAACAAAGGGCTACTGCATCAGATTCAATTCGATACTTCAAGGTTGAAACGCGTGAAATGGGAGCACAGCAAAAGATTAATCTTTGGCTCTCTTCTCTGTCTGTCCAAGGACAATTTCCAGACACTCATTTTTGCGACCGTCGCCGATAGGGACCCCAAGGAACTTGTATCCGTAAGATTTTATATATTCTTTCGAAATGCAAAGTTTTGATTAATGTTTTTATCAGCGCTATAAACTACAGAACGTGAAGAGGTTTCAGGAACTGGTAAATTCGTAGTAAATTCATAAACTCTGCTCTATTCTCATGCTAAATTAGAACATAAGGATGTGTGCGGACACAGGTGTAAAGTGATTTTATACTTAGCTACCTACATTCACTGACAGATACTTTTTAGGTCAGTAAAACTACGAGAAAACGTGCAAAAATGTTGTTAGATTAAAATCTTTAAATGAGCTGTCCCATGCATAGCACTGAAATAATTGCTTTCTAAGGAACTTCATCTACGATCCCAAAAAACCAACTGTTTCGGAAATTATCAAATATATAAAAATACCTCTCGTTACAGGGTAGAATTACGGTGCAGTTCATGGACATAACGATTGATTTACAAGATTTTTCGCGCAAAAATGTGTACCAGATGGTCGAAACAACCGCATATTTTGAAGCCTATAGTCCCATCTTAGAAGGATTGAAACAAACAGAGGACAGCGATTTGCCATTTCAGGTATGTCGAAAGAGGAATGCGGATCGAAATTCTTCTACACCGCTGTTGTGTAAAATATAATCGCGCAATTTGTCTAAATATGCTTAAAATATGCACCTTTTTAAGAAACTCAATGAAGTGTTTGTTTAACTTCGTATAGAGATATCTGATTGATTGCAACAAAGAAATAGAAGCTCCACGATACATCAGAAGTAATCGCTTCAGTGGAAATACACCAAGTTATGATTTTTCTTCGATTTTAATGGACGATGCTTCATCTGCTGTTTCAAGATTAGAAAAGCGATTTCAAGCTCTTGGTCTATTCGGTAATTCGACCGCAAAGATAATAGAAACGATAGAAGGATAGACAACTCCATTATTTTTCAGCAAAAAAAGTAATATGTTGAAAGAGAACCTAGCATTATACATATATGGGGGGAAATTCGAAGGAAATGTCCTGATAAAGTGCCGAAAATTTTACGATAAACGCAACTCATTGTTTCAGTCTATAAGTCGCTATTCATGGCTAAATGCTTCCTTAAACAGGAAGTACCATGCCGTAAAAGTGCATAAATGTCCATAAACGTGAACAAAAACCGGAAAGAAAAATGGTTGACTATCCTTTTCCATATATGCAGCTTCTTCGAACCATATTTTTAAGAGTAGCGCTTTTAGCCAATCCGCAGTTCAAAGACACTATTATAATCCTAATATAAATAATTTTTTCTTACAGCAAGCAGTACTCACCAGGGGCAAAGAGATTCCAAATTTCAAGATGTCCCAGTTCTTGATCTACATCGTTGGCCGAGTATGCAGCAGTTGGGCCTCGACGAGTCTCAGTACGAAGCACTGAAAATTGCTTTGACAAAAGAAGTAGCTGTTATTCAAGGACCACCTGGAACAGGGAAAACATATCTCGGTCTAAAGGTTAAAGTAAATCAATTTCTTTAATACACACGTTAAATACAAAGTGTTTATCACACAATGTTTTTTTCTGACATGAGCCATGAAATTCCTATCACTGTATCAGGATTTACTGTACTGTAACTGTAATTCTTAAAGGTAGTGTACAGTGGCTTCTGCGCATCGATTCTATATATAGACTACTTGATTTCAAATTGCTGAAACTTAAAGTGTTTATTACTTTTCTGAGCATAAACTCCAGTTTATACTTATCTAGAACTATAGCGAACCAAAATAGTGACTTAGTCTGACCGTTGTTGATAATGCAACATTACGATTAACTAGAATATTTTCATCTCACATAGATAGCAAAACTGCTGCTTAACAACACTGAAACCTGGATTCACGGCGAACAAACGTTGGTTGGAAGAAAGCGTCAAGTTAGTCGGACACCGATACTTGTCATATGTCTAACGAATCACGCGCTTGATCAGTTCTTGGAAGGTATCTACGACTTCTACGGCAAAAACGAAGACAAAATTGTTCGTATCGGTGGACGCAGCAAAAGCGAGAAGCTCAAAGATTGTATGTTGAAAGCCATCAAAGAAAAAAATCATAAAAAATCTCCGAAATACGTCGGGAGAAGCTTAGCTCAAGTGCATGCCAAACTTGACGTTGTGAAAAGTATGTATTACTCCTACTAAACCTCTGAAACCTCTACTAAAACTCATACTAAATCTGATCTAAATGATCTGATCTAATCTAATGGCCAAATCTGATCTAATCTGATGGCCAAATCTGATCTAATCTGATGGCCAAAGATAATTAGCGGAACTATGGACTGGAATTTTCAGCAAAGATGAAACATGTGAAATGAGAACATAACCAAGGTTCTTTAGTACTCGCAACTGATTGTTTAATCTTTCTATCTACAGTACCATATATGACTAAGTACATTGATATTTTTTTCTTTAGCAGGGTCCGTGACCAAATTCCCCCTTATATGTATTCTAATTGTGCATAGCAGTAAACCTCAACATGTACAATAGTAGATTAGTCAATAGTACAATAGTCAAATTGTATATCGATTTAGGAAAAATGGAAACTTCTGCGAACGTAATAAAAAAATGTTGGCAAAACGTTTTGTACGAGAGTACATTGGAAAAGGCTGGGGTTGTTCAGGAGCATCACCTTGAATCTCTAATGAGTCCATTTACGAGACATGATGGTTGGCAGTCAGAGCAAGGCACCGTCGTTTTACAATGGCTTAATCTTATCGCTGGTGAGGAATTGCTGAACAGAGGTAAGACCAATGAACTACATGCATATATGAATGATCACCTCCATTTTGAAAAGAAATCGACGAAAATTTGATTTTTACGTTCAGAGTACCGAGAGTAGTTTCATTTTGTTTGTAAATAATAAAAAAGTTCTTGATAAAAGTTATAAAGAAGAGATATTTAGCCATAACTGGACACAAAATGAGGAACAAAACCAAATTTAAGAAAAAATAGATTCAGTACATCCAGTGCTGAGGTTAGTAATTCTCTTAATAAATATATATTTATACAGAAGAAGTGGTTCTCCTCAAAAAAGATAATGTGATTGATCTCAATGGAACGAATAATTTCCCTTTTGAAAAGCTACCAATGGCGAACGAAGATTTTTCATTCTACGTCAATATCAAGACCACACAAGCTGGGACCATTTTCAGCAGCATGCCAGGAAATCGAAGATGGTCGAGCGAAAGTAAGGCTCTCTGTGTTGATCGTACTGGCTTTGTGAGGTTTATATCCGGAGAGGACATCGTAGTGGAGAGTTATTCCCGTGTAGATGACGATAGATGGCATGAAATTGGGCTAGTTTATTCAGGCGAGGAAAAAAGGTATTGTGGTTTTTAATTTACCTTCCAAACTGTTTGCAAACAGCGACACTAACGACACTTAATTGTAACGGTTTCCTATTCTAAGATCTAGGATAACATTTTAAACTGATATGTATATAATTATATTTATTTGCTGATTCAGTCAATATTTCTTCTCTCTATTTGTGAGTGGTTAACGAAATAAATTATGTCATAATCTTTTGTGAACTCACTGCAATCAAACGCCAAAACATTACGCCAAATATTGATAAGCAAATATCGAAACACATCCGTATATAAACAAGTCCCACTTTGGGCATCCTTATGCTACCCTGACTATTTAATCCTCAGTGATTTCATTTAATTTTACTCAAACATTTCGCTGTGAGAGATTCTTTTGCATATTACACTGCATGGTCTTTTAAAAAGTTCAAATGCATCAAAATATCCTATTGTTAGAGCTTGAGTGCCCTATCACTTGAGTACCCTATCTTCTGCATGGTGTGCCTGTTACACTAAGCAAAATTGGCAGAAGAGTCGTTTTTAAAAGTCATCGTCTTGATTTTCCACTATAGTTTGGCAATGTACATCGACAAGCGAATAGAACGTGTACTAAATCCCTTTCAACTCCAAGAAGAAAGTGAACCGTACCAGCTAAGAATTGGCTTGGCTCCGACACACTCAAACCATGAGATGGTGAATTTTGTCGGCTCGATAACGAATTTCATATATTACTTCAGCACGAAATATAACGAAATGGTCAGAGGGGACGGTAAGTGTACATAGGAGGATCCTCAGCTATTCGGATTGTCGCATATTCATAGGTTTCCCAAACATAATTTAAGCTGACACGTGAGATATTATAGCTTGAATACCTATACATGACACATGAGATATGCCAAATAACTCATTTTTTTAAAACAGAGCACGTGGAATACGAGATTGACTTCATGCAAGACCAAAGAAAGATTGATGATGGGAATGAAACATATACCAAACGTGACGTTCCAATACCAGACGATTTCGCTGTGGTCGACACCTCCGAGCTAGCTCAGGGATCAGGCGAATGGCAATTAGTGCAGGATAAAAAGCGAGCAAGAGGTAGAATTGCTTTTCAAATAAAAAAAGAGCTTCAGAGCGAGGATGTTATGACAGACGAGGAAGAGATGCTCGTCGTTGACTTGTGGGAGCTTCCGGTGAATAATCGCTGGCGTCTGTATCGTAAATGGGTGAGAGAAATCAGTCAACAGCACCAAAACACGATAGCAAGCATTCAAGACGAGTATGATCGAGGAATGAAAGAACTACAGGAGTTATATAACGCTCGGGATTACGAGCTTCTCCGAGAAGCCCACGTGATAGGAATGACAACAACTGGTGAGTAGATATAAATTGTTTGAATATATAATTTGAATATATAAATTGAATATATAATTTGAATAAATGATTTGAATATATAATTTGAATATGTAATTTGAATTTATAAGAAGTATAATCGCGGGTCTTATCACACAAGAATGTCAATGCTCGCCCGCGCCTTATTAGGGCAGGAACTAACCATCAATATATGGTTTTCAAACGGTATAAATAAAGTTGAAACAAAGGCATGCCAAACGGATGCCTCTTGTATTTACCTTGTTACGTTTGGCTAAATTCAAAGATATTGCAAATATGCTTAAAAAGTAACGCTACCATTTGGCTGAACTTTTATTGTATTTCCTTCGTGATCTAATTTAGAATATTTGTCTTTTTTTCTCCCAATAGGTGCGGCTAAATATCGCAAACTTTTACATCGTATTAAGCCGAAGATAACAATCGTTGAAGAAGCTGCCGAGGTTTTGGAATCTCACATCGTAACAGCGTTAACGGGAGGATGCGAACATCTCATTCTGATAGGAGATCACAAGCAATTGAGACCAAAGCCTACTGTGTTTCAACTGGGATTGGATTATCAACTTGATATTTCGCTTTTCGAAAGAATGGTTGACAATGGTTAGCTATGCCTAAACTTTTTAAATTAAGAGATAGATATCAAAATAAACAAAACGTTTCCTTTGCGCGTAGCAAGTTACTGGGCTGTTTATTTTGGTGAACATCCATCGAGAACCATATCTTTTGACTTTTTATATAGATATGCCCTTTGCTTGTTTGAAAGCTCAACACAGAATGCGTCCAGAAATTTCAGTGATGATGGCTCCGATCTACGACAACTTGATCGACCATGAATCCGTTCTGAATTTTGAAAGAATTAAAGGGATCAACAAGAACATCTTCTTTGTAGATCATCAATTCAAAGAGGTAGAAGTTTGTTTCATATTTTTTTCAGATGAATCTGTCTTTTCACGTGCGGTACAGTGGATAATGTCTAATTACAAAGCTGTTTCCCATTTACGTAAATCAAACGGTTCCAGTTATTCAAAACATCATGCTTTGTTTTTCGACATCTAGGATGCTTTGGATGAAAACCAAAGCCACTCGAACATTCACGAAGCTAAATTTATCGGTGCTTTGTGCCAATACCTACTTCAGCAAGGGTATCCTCCATCCCAAGTCACCGTGTTAACGCCCTATAGCGGACAGTTATTTCAACTGAAGAAGTTTGTACCTCAAAAAGAAGGGCTCAGAGTGTGCGTTGTTGACAACTTCCAAGGCGAAGAAAATGATATCATTTTGCTTTCACTGGTTCGGAGCCAGGTGATGACGACGAAGGAGAAAAGAGAGATTCGCAGATTGATCGGCTTCCTCTCGATTGACAACCGTATTTGCGTGTCTTTGTCGAGAGCGAAAAAAGGTTTCTTTTGCATTGGGAATCTAACCTTGATGAAAGCTGCAAACGATCTTTGGTCGGAAATTCTTGACGACATGGAAAGAAGGGGCTGGATTGGGGCTTCCTTGCCATTAGCGTGTCAGAATCATCCGAAAACCATCACGCTTGTCAAAAGCGATATGGATTTCAAAAAGGCTCCAAACGGTGGCTGCAGCGTTCTTTGCAGGGCAAGACTGGACTGCGGGCATAGCTGTGAGCAAATATGTCATCCAACTGATCCTAACCACGAGGAATACGACTGCAGAAAATCCTGTCCAAAGAAATGTGAGCGCGGTCATCCGTGCGAACGTTATTGTTATCAGGATTGCCAGTGTATGGTTAAGGTCTTCAAGGTAATCCCCAAATGCAATCATTCTCTGGAGATGCCATGTCATCAGGACCCCTCAACTTTTCAGTGTACCAAGCCATGTCCTAGGCAGCTCGACTGTGGCCATGATTGTCCAAAAAAATGTGGACAAGTTTGTCCAAAGAAATGTGTAAAGTTAGTTCCCAAAACGTGGGCTCTCTGCGGCCATACGTGTAATACTGCCTGCTTCACAGACACTACGAAAACTGGTTGTCCCAAGCCTTGTGGAACATTGTTGATGTGTGAACATGTGTGTGGAGGTATGTACGTTTGTGTGTAAAGTTTTCTAAAACCAGCTGGGATCGTATCTTAATTATTTAACAAAATCAGCCGTAAATTTTGATGAAACATCTGAGCCAGAGATATACCCCCCTGTGCTGGTGCAAATCGTCCAATTTGATTTTCTTAAACGCGCAAGAAGAATATTAGAACATATCAAGTATTTTCTATTACACTAAATTAGTCGATTCTTTTAGGGACATGTAGTAAGTGCAAACGAGGCCGACTCCATCAACCCTGTTCTTCAAAATGCGATCGTCTCCTTTTTTGCGGTCACAAATGCAGAGTAACCTGTACGAAGAACTGCCCACCGTGTCGTGAACCGTGCCAAAACACGTGTTCCCACAGCAAGTGCCAAAAAACATGTGGAATGCCATGCGAAAAATGTAACGAGCCTTGCCAGTGGAAATGCGAGCACTTGAAATGTACCAAATTGTGTGGTGAGATGTGTAACAGGTTACGTTGCAATAAGCGTTGCATGAAAAGCTTACAGATGTGTGGTCATCAGTGTGCCGGCCTGTGCGGCGAACCATGTCCAAATAAATGCCTGGTTTGCAACAAAGAAGAGTTGACGGAAATCTTCTTTGGCCACGAAGATGAGAAAGGAGCTCGTTTCTTGCAACTTGTTGATTGTGGTGATATTTTTGAGAGGAAAGGATTGGACCAATATATTGATAAGCAGGACAAAGAGATGAAGAGCGGTCAATCGACAAGCATACAAATGATCAAGTGCCCGAAATGTCAAACCCCAATACGAACAAGTTTGAGATATGGTTTGTACTCTGTATAAGTTCATAAACTAATGTTTCAAAGTATTGGACGATCTTTTTTGTCCGGGGCTTTATCTATCGCTATTTTCCACACTTTTGTCCGATTTAATGACATTCACGGAGCCTGGGGAAATAATTTATTTCTTAGAAATGTTTGCTTTCTTTATCTGTCACTTTGACAAATTTTCAAGGGCAGGTTACTCAAAACGCTTGAATGTGAAAAATACGACACATGGTTCACAATGAATACCTTACCGTCGATTTAGTCGAAGAAAGAAGTTTGCTGTTTGCTTCGTTTCGCCAGTTCAGGCTGCGCATGAGCAGTAAAAGAGTGAGGCTAGTGAATAGAACTCCCGGCATTTGAAAATAAAATTATCAATTCTGTTTGACGGAAGTATTGTGCTTCTGTTTGCTTAGGAAACATCGTGAAGAAAATCCTTCGTGATTTTGAAGGTGTTAAGAGCACCATATCTCGTGAAAGTTATTCTTCAACTCCCATATTTCGTCATAAGATGAAGAAAGATATCGAATGCATCACAGATTTTCCCGATGAAATCTCGAAGATCAGTGAGAAGTTAAAAAGCTCTGTTCTAACTGCCGAAGAACAGAACATCATCGAAAATCAAGTTCATTTCCTGACGTTCATGAGCAAGTTGAAGGATATCATAGAGCAAGCGGAATCAATCAAAAACAGGCTTCCTGCTCGTCGTTACCATCGTAGACGCCTCATCCCCGAGGCTGACACGAATACAGAAGAAGACGATCCAGAAGATCCAGAGGACCCAGAAGTAGAATCAATGAAGTGCGAACTGAAAGAATTGTTGGAATGGGTGATGAAACTCCGATTTCGATTTGGTGAACAAGAACTGGAAGAATTTAACGACGAGCTTGAACGCGCTTTGCTGGTGTTTACGTACCTGACACTGAGCTTAGAAATAAGAAAAAGCGAAATTCGCTTATCTGAGACGGAGACAAGATATTTCGAATATATAAAGGCGACTCTCGAGACTGGCACCAGACTTAGTAAGTTACCAGTTCTGTTGGTTCATTTGATTTAAGTACTATTTAAAATACGAGCGGCCGATCTGTATGGATATTTACAATGGCAAGTACGTAGCACGAGCCATTGTAAATCCCATACAGATTGGCCGTGAGTATTTTAACGTGCTTGTGAAATGAATAAATTAAGCTTAATGCATATTAAAGTTATGAATACTATAATTAAGATTGGTTGCATCAAAGTTGATATATTAATTAACAGTTCATGAGACCTTTATGGAGAATTACAGATGTATACATGTGACCAAAATACTGCGCAATGATTGCAAGTTAGACTCATTAATTATTCTCATGAATAATTTCACAAACACCTTTAAAACTAATCAGAGTCAGGTAACAACTTTGCATTAAATGTGGTTGTCTTGTGGAATAGACAGACGAATTCCTAGAATAGACGAACAAACTTTACGATGTTAGAACTGAGGGCGCCAGGAGAATAGATCAAATGCATAAAGTAACAATTATATTTAAGCAATAATATTCTTGTAAGTTTGCATGGTGATATAAAATAAGTAAATTTGTAGGTACACCTCGTAAGGGTTTAATAATGCAAAGCTTTCGGTCCGTTAACCCGGGCCTTCATCAGTTCAATTGGTGAAGGCCCAGTTTAACGGACAGAAACAGCTTGGCAGTATTAAATACTTACGTGGTGTACCTACAGGCTAATCAACTTATATTTAAGCAATACTATAATCTCATTGATATAGCTGAGAAGACGAAACAGACTTGCACAAGACGTCTCAAGACTATTACAAAAAATAATGCACTTGGCGTAAAGTACACAACCGTTACTGAAGAAGAAAGGAATCTTATTGTGAAAGCTGTAGGTCTAAGTAAAGGTCACTGGTTTAAATGCCCAAAAGGTAAACTTATATAATCATGATTTCTTTGCTATGTTTATAATCTAAAATACGAGAAATAAAGCCCTACAAAACAATTCATGAGACCTTTATGGAGAATTACAGATGAATACATGTGACCAAAATACTGCGCAATGATTGCAAGTTAGACTCATTAATTATTCTCATGAATAATTTCACAAACACATTTAAAACTAATCAGAGTCAGGTAACAACTTTGCATTAAATGTGGCGGTCTTGTGGAACAGACAGGTAGGTCTAAGTAAAGGTCACTGGTTTAAATGCCCAAAAGGTAAACTTATATAATCATGATTTCTTTGCTATGTTTATAATCTAAAATACGCGAAATAAAGCCCTACAAAGTTTTCAAATTACCGGATTTGTTTTTTCAGAATACTACGGTTACACAATACAAAAAAATAAATCACATGCCTCAAATAAGTACTCCGGTTTAATTCAAATAGCTTCTTGTATAATAAGTAAGTTAGCAGAATGAAACCAGTTTCATTAGTTATAGAAACGACTTTATCAGATTTTGAAATGTTTTTGTTGCATTTTTTAAGAAAATTAATAGATATTACATTTCTAAATGGGCATACATTATTTCAGCATGCCTGAAAATATGCAAAATACGTACAAAATCTATTTATCAGTACGTTTTGGGGTTTGCAAAAAGTATTAAATTTCCTTTTTTGATTAATAAAACGGACATGCAGTGAAGGATAGAAAACAGCTCAAGCTTAATTGAGGCACTCTTCTAAGAGAAAAACAATTCCCAAGTGAGAAATTTATGCATTCTGCGTTCAACGTTACAACTTCCATGCCAAATGGTTGGTCACATGATTTTAGAAACAAAATAAAATGCCTCAAAATTACTGGGATTTGCAGCAGAAGGTGACATTTAATAATAAATTTTAGGGCACATTTACTGTATCGGAGAATGTGGTGGGGCAACTGAAGAATCGCAGTGCCCAGAGTGTCGATCACGAATTGGCGGAACTCAGCATCGCCTTCTTCCTGACAACAGTTTAGCCCCAGAGATGGACGGTGCAAGTCATGCGGCATGGTCTGACACAGCCAACAATATGGGCAATTGGAATCTTAATAACTTGTGAAAGCTTTCCTTAAGAAAGTTATTTCTCTTCATAAATGGAACCGACTCTCTTTCACTTCTATATATTAACATAATAAGACAAGTTTAAAACAAAGGCGATAAAATGTCGCTTCCAAACTGATTTTGCCATCTGAATTAAAGCCGGCCGAGGTTTTTTCGATTCCTTCTCGATATAAAATAAATAACTGTCAGCTCCTAGATTTAACTAATCAGTCTAATTTCATTTCTCACAACATATGATTAAAAATATCTTGCTATAATTTTGGCTTAACATATTGTTGACATTATCCTGACTTCAAAATCATATTGCATCGAATATTTACTAATTTAGGCTTGAAATTGTTATTATTTCTGATTTTAAATGTTGAGATCAAAGAATTTGGCGCTTGAACGCGAAGATTGAAATCCTGATGTTAGTTGAATGACTGTTAGTTATGTTCTGAACTTATTAGCTATAAATAAGTAATGATATTTTCTATGATAATTGATAAACGTAAACTTCTAATAACTTACTGTTAGTGCAACCGCATATCGGCATATAATAATAAACACAGTAGTTACCTTATTATATCAGCAAATTACTCTGCTTGCACAACACCGTTGTTTTAAAATGGCACCTATTTGAGCAGGTGTTAAAAATAACACTGGATTGTGGTGTTAAATTCTTAGCTTGGTGTTAAATTCTTAGCTTGGTGTTAAAACAGCACCACAGGTATTGTAGACGCTGCTTGCAATGAAACGGCCTATTTTTAACTGTTAAATTTTTTATCTCTATATCAGCCAAAGAGCAGTAGCAGATAACGCATACTGAGCAACTGCATAAGTATATCACGTGCAAGTTTGGAGTGCCGAAATGTTGGGAGATCGGTAGTAAATATTGCACAAAAAAAAGCAGGCGCGCGCGCCATAAGTCGAAGGAGCATAATTCTAACCGATCACTTTAACAATTATTACGTCATAATAGACAAAAAACACAATCATGAAATTATCACTTGTCAACAAGACAAAAACAGTTATAAAAACTATCAAACCGACGGAAAGGCAGCGAAGTGAAGAGAACATCATCTCATGTAGTGAAAAGGAAGATTTCTTTCGCCATGGTAAAATACCAAAGAGCCGTTCAGAGAAATTGTCCACTGAACCATTCCGAAGAAAAACACACAAAGTCTCCTTGGAATTTTTGACCGAGGCAAAGCGAATACTTGATATTGTAAATGAAAAATACCATAGCGGAGATACTTATTTAGACGAGGTTTTTGGTCCACAAATATCTCAAGATGAAGCAACGAAATATTTGATCCATTATTTACAATCAGAGGGGTTAGTATCATTTGTTTGAAAAACAAAACTAAATGGTTTTTGGTATTGTACATTAGGTAAAAATTGGGATCCCGTACAGTAAAGACTAAAGAAATAAAAATTCCCGGGTGGCTATGGGAATTTATTTTCTTATTCCTTATCTGGACTTAATTTCAGCGGCGTGGATAGAAGCGTAATTCGCGGTGTATTAGCATATATTTATCTTTTGAACAATAAATTAATTTTTTAAACAATAAGTAAAAAAAGTAGCAGACATGAGTATTCGTCCCCCCCCCAAATAGGTGTTGAACTTCACCCCCGAAAAACATATATCAGCTTTAGGAGGAGTGAATAATGTTACATGGCATAGGCTAGCATCTAGTTTATTTAAACTTGAAGCGTTTGGCGCGAATCCCTGCGACGTCCGCGCAGGAACTCTCAGATTCTTTCCAGGTCCCTGCGCAGCAAATCCAATATGGCCACCATATTGTGAATCCTGGAATAACTAGTTAAATTTTTACAACCTTGAACCGTTACATTTTACTAACCATTCGGTGATTTAGTTGAATTTACTAGTGGACTAACCTAACGTATAACTCATTTGTAATTTACCTTGTTTTCTTGAATTCCAAGCAATCTGATTTGGTCTGACTTTAATTTCGATCTGTGCCGAGCCCCAAAATTTTCTAAATTCTTCCTTTATGATCATTTAAAAAGAAAATAAAAGGTCTGAAACGGAAGGCCGCGCAATTTTGCTCAATAAATAGGGCTTTTGAGTTTCTGGCATCGTATATGACCTCTAACTTTCACGATCATTTTTTGAATAAGCATGCTTGAGTATATTTATTTACTTCATCTTGTAGTACTTGATCTAGTAGCAATTTAAAGTTTGGGCTTTCACAACTTATTTGCATTTGACTGTCCTCATATGGGGGCAGATAGCGAAAAAAATAGAGAAATAAAAACTTCAGCAATGAAGCGGAATTTTGCTTTCTCAATTTGTTGACTTTTCACAGTTTTTTAATGCAGCAGCTACTAATTGGCCTCTACGTTTAGACTTGAAGGGGCGTTAAAAATAATTTGGTCAAGCGACATTGACTGCTGTGGACGGATAATTTGGACAGGACCATGTGCGCATCTTAATAAACCCGAAAAACGCAGGTACAGATTATGGTTGAAGAACACTCCTGAGAATGTTTACTTACGACAGCAAGGCATCAAGGGATTGGCTGATCATGAAATTGGCACGCATTACGTATCCTTGAAAGGATTTGACCCGTATGTCAACTTTTGGACTTTGGGTTTTCCATTAGTGCAAGCTATTTACTATATTTATGGGTTAAACAGGAAATGCGTTCTGACAGAATCCTTTCGTCTGCATGTCTAGAGCTAGTTCCAACTAGCTATTTCATTTTCATAGAGTTGTATTTTAATCATTTTATATAAAATTTATGAAGCATGCATGGAAGACTTTTTTTATTACCTAAGACGTTTTCAAACTACAATATCAGTTTATTTTCTAATCATGTTTCTTTTCAATCTTCCTCACTCAAGGATGTATAACACAAGAAGTTTCTAAATATTTATTTTGCTACTTCTCTTTAGGCTCCAAAGAGAAACTAAAATGATTTAAATTAAGATTTAAAAGAGGTTTTAAAAAATTGTAAAGAGCTAGCCTGAAAAAGAGTAATTAAACCAGCCAAAAAGTCTTAAGCGAAATATATATTTTGAAACCTCTCGTGTTATACATCCTCGAATAAATGAGATTAAAAGGAAACATGAACAATTACAGAGGTGAAAGTTTCAGAAAAAGGATTACTTTTTGCTTGTGTGTAAACTTTACTGCAAGTTCCTTGATTTTGAATCAGCTTAGAACGTTAAATGACGGTTTCCAACCATGGTTTTCGAACAGAAGACTGTTTGGTTTACGCAGCCTAAATTCGAAGCATCTCAGAACCACAGAAGAAGGATTGGCTGCAATCAATACATTGTTGCAACTGAAATGCAGACTGCTTTGGTGGCCTGCTTTTCTCTACTGTAAGTAGGTGGGGGAAATTATATTTGGCCAGTGCATTGAAGTTTAATTCTTGAAACCATGCAGAATTAGTCTACTAGATTTCTTTACTAACAGCCTGACCAAATGTGGGAATATTTTTCAATTTTAGTAAAATTTTATCATTCTTGAAAATTATACTCATGATACTTTCTCCCTCCCGAACACCAATCGAAAAATTGCATATCCCCCCTGGATTCTTTCCATACCTTAGACACCGCGTGTATGTCGATCCAAATGTCTTTCAAAGAGTTGTTTGATCATCTGGTACTTTACATTCGTGATCCTGATCAGAGGTGGAAGCATGTGTTGAGGGTGAAACGCGATCTAGAGGACTGTAGTGGATATGGCGGGAGTGGAAAGGATCAGGTGTATTTCACTGGTAAGAAAGAAAACAAAATGAAACATGGTGAAGAATTACTACTTGTAACAAATTAACATAATTTATGCAAATAAAACCACATAAATACATTTGCCGAAATGAGGCAGGAGCCACAGGTATTGGGATAAAACATTTTTCAGTCAAAAAACTGTTGAAAATATTACTTACTTGGGTTCGTCTCTATGGTTTCATCACATTCCGGGCAGATAGAATGTTGAGTTCAACCAATACTTTTCTAACCTATAAAGTTTCTACGTACACACGACATTCATACATTTTTAGGAGCTGTGAAACTACTTCGCGAAGCAAAAGAAACCGACTTTAGGCTTCTCTACTCGGGAAAGCTCTGTATCGACGAACTGAATAGAGTAAAACGGGTCCGGAGACGCTCAATAAAGCTGCCTCATTTCATGCATGAATTTCCCGAATACCGGCATGCATTGCGCGAGATGTGTTTCGTGAATTGTTTGGAGCCACCGACAATTATGCATTATGTTTACGGTGATGTAACACTTCAAGATAGGATGGCAACGGCTCGACGAAATAAACTTAGGACGAGAAAATCACAGCCATCGACAAAGTTAAAACCAAAAGTTTGTGATGACATGAGAAAAGGAAGAAAAGATGGTGCTGAATTTATATGTTGTGAAGTTATTCCCATAAAATCGAGATCTAAAACACTGTGTATTAAATAAGAGGACATGCACACAGAAATAAAGTGAGATTGTGCATGGTAGAAAAATTAAATAATGCAATTGTTTCATAGTTTTCGACGTTTATACCCATATCTGAATGTGGTTAAAATTCAGAACACAAGGAACATGTATTAATCCAACAAACATCTATTGAGCCATTCAAAATCACCAGTTGTGGCGATGTTGAAATAAATTCCACAGCCAGCTCACGATAACTTGTGTTTTTTCCTTTTGGTATTACAGGTTTGATCTGAGGAGTGGAAAGTTGAATTTTCGCAGTCATTCCTACTGAATTGTTAAAAAATATCCCACATAATTTAATAACTCGTTCCTCCTATTTCCATCCCTTCCAATATTTTCATGATTGTTTAATAGATAAGACTTAGATTTATTTAAATTCTTAATATAAAACACCCGTATAAACCATTATATACATGCATATTACCCACCAGTCATTCGCCATTATTATCATGCCGTTCTTAAATTAGTTTGTTGATTAAAAATTTTAATACGACCAGTTTTACCACTCGAAATTGTTACAGAGGTGTCTCATCGGCTGCCAATTGGTCTGCACCCTCGTTTTCCAAACCAGCGATTTCCTCTTTTGTCTCAGGGATCGTTTTGCAAAAATACCAGGACAAGAAGTAGCAAATGGTTGTACACACTACAAGAAAAATAGGAATGGTAAGCCAAAAACTACAATTTGCCTTGTTGAACTATTTAACAATTTAACAATTAATTGAAAGAGCAACGGAAACTTTCAGTTCTCGTTCAGACCTGGTCATACCTGAAATAACCACACCAAATAATGCAATATTTCGACTCAGGGACACGATATCGTAATCAAAGCACCTCCCTTTTCTTCCACATATATTTTGCCATAACCGGCACGATTCATCCACTATGTGACCGAATATAATAGGAGAAGGAAGAAGACCAAATGTTTTGTAAATCACATACGTGACCCCGGAGGCAAATGCACGTTTGTCATCAGGAACACACCTTCGAGAAAATATTGAAAAATATAAATTTAGCAAAGTAAGATGACATTCCAGTTTTCATATTCTAAATTTACGACTTCATATTCTAAATTTACGACTTTGAAGTCGTGATATCCCGTATCCATGATTTCGATTATTTAAGAATATAGTTAACTGACCTTAGGGTAACTGTTCTCGTTGGAACAAGTGCGGTAAAGCGAATTGCCGACGATATGACGGCGAATAACGAGAATATCACGAGATTCTTACAGTCCCGATCACAATAACCAAGGGTTGCTGAACCTCGTTTATTTCTAGCTTTCCCTGGTATGCAGGAGCAATTTGTGAATGTCTAGAACAATTCAGGACCAAAAAAGACAAGACAATCGTTAGCGTGTAATTATTATAATGTGTTCGTTTCATCACAGCATTTATCTCAAGTTTACAGCCCTGAATGCCCGTGAACGATTAAGCCTGACCTCGACACTTTATGCCGAAAAACGCCGACAAGCGTTGTGAAAAAATGTGTTGAAAAAATGCTTCCATGCCAACGATATACGTTAAGGTTTTTTGGCATGCTATATTTACTTCCAAGTTTCAAGTTCCCCCATCTTACTTTTTTATCAAAATGACACCAACCCTTGTTATATTTCTAAATCATTAGTTGTTCATGTAGACATCATTGTTGGTGTAAATTCAATTCTCTGAGAGGGTATACTCCGATACAAGACACTGGAATGATATGTACTAGTTCTAAAAAGTTATTCAGTACCAAAATTTCTTACGATCCTGTCACTGTATAACCAGAATCCTTTATTATTTCAAGAAAGAAAAAAATTTCGTTAACTCTGACCTTGTTACGATGTCGTTGTGTGCAACCAGCATGACACGAATCAAAGTATGTTAAATTATCAGATCCACACACAGGCGAGAACGACTTTAGAGAACAACCACAATTCTTATTACATTGGGATTTCAGTAAGCCGAAATTACTTGACTGATTCATGCTCGGGCTAAAGAAAACAATACATTTGTAAGAATGAATGTTCTTGCATGCGACTTATTACGGTAAAAAGCATGAAATTACTGTGCATAGAAATATTAAAATTCTTCGTGCTAAAGTAAACAATAAATAATCGTTATCTAAAAAATTCTTGTTGAAAAGTAATAGTCTATTTTGGTATTATATTAAAGAAATGATGAATGTTTTCATTCGTGCAATAAAGCATTTCATCTTTTACCTCGTGAAAATATTGTTACCATTGCACTGATAAACATTCATTATTAAGTGCATACTATTTACCTGTGGTATTGCAGAGCAACGCCAGCAATATTGGCGTTTTCACAAGCGGGTATCAAGTATATTAGGGTTCCTCCAATTGCCAGTAAATTACAAATGGCAGTCGCAGCCGCAGCCTTCTTGCACGTCGTCTTCAATGAAAACAGTCGAACAATTATGGAGCCGCTGGCAACCCCAACTAAATAGTAAGATAAGCAAAGAAACTTTTCAAAAACTACTCAAATCAACTTTGTTACATTTGATAATGATAAGTTAATTTTATTGCTTTTAATGATGACAAGTCAATCTTGTTACATTTAATAATGACAAGTCATATAATTTTGTAACATTCAATCATGGTAATAAGGTCAATTTTTTACATTTAATAATAATAAGTCAATTTGGTTACATTTAGTAACAATAGGTAAAGTTTTGTCACATTCAAAACTGATAAGCCAATTTTGTTACATTTAATATTGGTTAGTCAGTTTTGCTAAATTTTCGCAATTTAATTGGGATACGGCTTCAGCTGGCAGCCTGACACAACTCTTTTCGACTTATGTCATATATTGTTTGAACAGTGTTGTCTCGCGATTTGATATACTGATTTCTGCTATACTTACTCACAACTCCCGTGAAACTTATGGTCGCTAAAACGTATCCTACACTCACACCATCCAGGCCAAACTTCACGCGCAAAATTTTAGAAAAGAATGTCCCAATAGTTGCGGCATAGAAGAGCAAACACGTCAAACCCAACGTATTGAAGACATAGGTAGAGTTCTTCAAAAGAGCTTTCAATTCGGATGGAATTTTTCTTAAGCTTGGTTGTTTTGAATCGTTGCTGGGTTTGATATTCCCCTCGCGTATGTGATTTTGTCGTCTCTCTCTCGCCCCAGGCATCTCACGAGGGAATCCAGATAAGATAACAGAAAACAGGATTATCAGCGATCCGAATAAAAGGAATCCTATCCACCACGCTCCAATCCATCGCGGATCCCTAGGAGTTAGACTGAAACCAACCGGCTAAGGAAAACAGAAATAAATGTTTCAACCGCAGAAAGACTGCTCATCGGTCGAATATTTGTATAGGAGGTTATCATAGGATTTTGCCATAAAAATTTGGGATTAATATGAAACATCGCGTGATTATTTGTACAGGGTGTCTCAAAAAAAACCGAATCCATCTTTGGCACGTTATTGTGCATAAATTAATAGGTAAACGAGCGTAATTTTTTTATATTACGAAAGAACAGGCTTTTAGCTGTCAAATGACACATTTTTCGTTCCAAATAAAGGAAAAATGAGGGAATACAAGTTCAACGAAAAATATTGGTCAAAATCGCGTTCTTTCACCTCCGCGCGTGATTAATGCATTGAGAAACAAAAGAAGAACCAATTAGTCACAGATGTGTCAAAACTGATTAATTGATGATTAACTTACAATTCAAACTTAAGAACATTAATTAGGCTCCTACACCTTCGACATGACCACCGTCTCTTTCGATGCACAGTTGACATCGTTTTAACATTGCCTGGACAGCTCTTCTGATAATCGGTGGGTTATTTTGCAAAGCGTTAACTTCGTCACGAATGCGGTTCCGCAAATCGTTGAGATCAAGCGGCGGTGTTGTGTAGACCTTGTTCTTCAGGTATCCCCAAAGGAAAAAGTCGCAAGGAGTAAGGTCAGGGGATCGCGGTGGCCATTCCACGTCATGGTAGAGGGCAATGATACGGTGACCAAACAATTCTCTCAAACGATCACGGACGGCAATTAAACGGTGTGCCGGAGCTCCATCTTGCACCCACCAGAGATTTCGGAATGCTCCTCTCCTTTGCATCTGGAAATTTTGCTGAAGTTGTGGTACCACGTCGTTGTTCAACATTTGCAGATAGTTTAATCCATTTACATTTCCATCAAAGAAGAATGGCCCAATTATCTGGCCGTTGCCACAAAGTCCGATCCAAACTGTCAGTTTTTGTTGACTAGAATTGATTTCAAAGTTAAATGCGGGCGGTTGTCCTGCAGCAGCATACTCCCTAACGTTGTGGGTGTTAACTTGGCCGTTCATGGCAAAACCGGCTTCGTCTCCAACAACGAATGATCGCAGGAATTCTTCGTTTCGTCTGCAACGGTCAACCAGCCATCGCGCAAACTGCAAACGCCGAGCATAGTCTCGAGGAAGGAGTTGATGTCGGATGTGCATGCGGTAAGGGTACATGTTCAGATCTAACCTCGTTATGCGGTTGAACGTGGCATGTGGTAGGCCAACACCATTCCGTCTTGCGCTTGTGTCTGTAGGATGATCAGCTAGCCGCTGTCTGACCACCTCAATGTTAGCTTCTGATCTCCCCGTGCGCCTTCTGCCAGAATTCCCCTTGTTTCGATTTAATGTTGTGCCATGTTCAGAAAACTTTCTTACATTTGACCAAATTGTTGAGAGTGCAGGCGGTTGCCGCTCAGGAAAACGTTGCCTGAAACTCTCCCGAGTTCTTTGCAAACTTCCTGTTTCATGAAACGTTTTCACAATAAATATTCGTTGTTCTGTTGTAAGTTGAACCATGTTTGCAATAACAAAATTATGCGTATGCAACTGCATATGCAAAGTTAATTCACTAACCTAATTCCCAAGAGACTTACGTTTACAGTCAATTCTCTGAGGTGAAAGAATGCGATTTTGACCAATATTTTTCGTTGAACTCGTATTCGCTCATTTTTTCTTCATTTGGTACGAAAAGTCTGTCATTCGACAGCTAAAAGCCTGGTCTTTCTTAATATAAAAAAATTACGCTCGTTTACCTATTAATTTATGCACAATAACGTGCCAAAGATGGATTCGGTTTTTTTTGAGACACCCTGTATAAAAAAAAGCATGAAGCATGAGAGTTTTCTTTCAGAAAGACAGATTTCACTGCCATCTTTTTATCTAATATTTTGTTTACCTTTTGACTTTCTTTACAGTGGCGTAGCCAGCATCTATATAATTGGGGGGCCATATTCATATATTCATGTTAACAGACTGTAAAAACACTGATTGATTTGAAAAGAAATTATGCCCCCCGCCCCGATTATCTCGCTGGCTACGCCACTGGTTTTTTAGTTCCTCTGGGATGTTAGTTTGCATGCAAATATCTTTCCGCCATTTTGCTTAATTATCAAAATCGTTGAACGATCGGCGTTGTTAATTTTAACATCAGATCACCCCTAATGAAGGCACTAAACCAGAGTGTCGTCGAATCGTTGGGTCGTGAATGCAATCTTTGTACGATGGTTACCTTCATCAATTAAACCAGGTAGCAATAATTGCGATGAATCATGTCGTTCTTATTATAGTCTTCCTTTCGAGTGTAATTTCTCTATGACCCAGCTTTATCTAGGTTTGCAAGCTTGGTCTAGTTTTAGTTTTACACTATAATAGCTGTACTGGAGAAGGAGTTTGTACGCAATAATACCTGTTCTATATCCACGTAGATGCTCAAAAACTTCCCACCAATTATAAATCCTAGGCCTGGGGATAAGAATTGTATAATGTTACAAATTCCTAAAAATAATGGGAAGGATTTCGGCTCGACATTTTCATCCAGGTATGCATTGAACAGCGAAAAATAAGGTGCGCTACCAGCACCCATGGTTAACATCGCTATAATAAACACTGCCAGGTAGTACCAATCCCCTCCACTGTTTTCACTGACGCATGGCGCCATCGTTCCGTTTCCATGACTACATAAACCTTGCAGATGTGAACTCCCCGGATGATACCGACCAATCATAAAGTGAGGTAAAGCGAAGATAATTACGCCAAGACCTATAAAATCAACAAGCAAAGCAATTAAGTCATTTGTTTGATATGCGAAGTTCTCATCTGTGCTGCTTGATGAGTCATAAAAAACATCTTTTTTGTATTTATATCCTATTTAATATTTATATTTATATTTGGCTTCCGCCCATAGCAAAGAAGTCAAAACCACGCCAATCGTGATTATGCCGCCTCAATGTTACTAAATTAATTTGATTTAAATTAGACCGCCGCTTCATTTCTTTCAAGAAAGCTAGACTAGGGACAAGTACATTTTTTGGATAATACAACCTAATACTGGTAGAGGTAAAAAAAAACATGAATTGGCTCGGCACGTACGTGATGCATTTTTAAAGCCTCTTGAAGTTCACTCGTCATGTATCATCGTCCACTTATCATGCTACCCACTACAGGCTGATTACTAACATCTATCCTACGTATTATGGAAAATTTGAAACCATGATGCAGCTTTTAGATAGTTGAAAGCGTCAACCCCCAAGGTTAAGACAATAAAAAACCAGATATGAGCTCATGAAGAGCGTTTATTGCCTGGTTTCCATTTAGTCGTGAGTGTCGTGAACGTGTCAAGCTGGCTGATGTGACCAAAATACGACGTTTAACCTAGGCCTTTAAGCCTGGTTTCCATTTAGTGGTAATTGTCGTGAGCATGTCATTTTCGCCGATGAGAAATTGTCGGGATGTAAATTCGCTTTCATTCCTGTATTCAAATCTGTCATTGTTGACTGCACACGTATAGAAATATTCTATCGGGTCGAATGCAATTCAAACAATAGATAATTAGATGATAATTGAATTACATTCGACGTGACCAAAAAGCGACGTATAACCTAGGCCTAAGAATATTTCAGAGGGTAACGCCATAGTGTAGTGTCGACCAGCTGTGCATGTGTATAAAAAACGCAAGGTCAACCTTAATAAGTCCCCGGAAGCCTGCATTCTTTTGCCAGTTGAATAAAAGCGAACATATATGAATATTACGTTTAATTTTGATACACCCTGTATACCAGCTAGGCCTAAATTTTAACCACAGACGCACTGGTAACACCTCATAACATCTGCAACCATCCCCATCCTTAAATTCTGTAGATGTTATCCTCATCGAGTGAAGTGTCGGAAAATCACAACTGATTGACCCTTACATACTCAACACTAACATTTTTTAAATGAACAAACCAAGTGTACTTTAACTCTGCGAGGAATTCATCGACGGACTTAAAAAGACGATATACCATACTGTATGTACCTGTCACTAAAGCCCCTCCACTCATCCATTTTATTTTATTACCATAATCCCCATAGTAACTGATAAACACCACAATCAACAATGCCGAGATGTCGTTTGCTGCCGCGATCACCCCCAACTCTTTGGCAGAGAAGGCAAATCTGCGTTCAATACTTGGCAAAACCAGATTTGGAAATCCCCACGAAGCTATGCCTATAAAGATAATGGCGCATATATTATAGAGCCCGGTTCACTGTACAGATGACAAAATATATAGACATGCTTGGAATAGTTAACGTTGTAAAATTGATTTTTTGAATATGGAAAAGATGAACTATATCTCCTTTTAAGTTTGAGCGATGTGGGTTTTGCTGGATTTAAAAAAAAAAATTTGATTCAATCAATTTCAAGGTTTGCCAACACAAATTGACTGCGCACGTCGAATTTGACCTTAATCTCCTTAAAAAGGGCATAAAGTCATGCACTTGTTTAAGTGCTAATGAAAAATGTATTAATTGATGTAGCATGCATTGCACATTTGATCGTATATTTCATGAGCTGATATCACAGCTTCGCTGCTGTTTGAAAGACTTAACTTAATTGGTATAAAACTACAAATCTTATGGAATTTTTGCCGTTGATGAAGCGAATCACTATAAATTTCCGAAAACGTCTGATTTGACTGAGTGTATAATTTTGGTGCGCTAGTCGATATCAGAGGCTTCCAATATAAAATGGGTAGCAGCTCCAAACTCATCTGTGCTCGGCCTTTGTTTTGGTAGTAATAAAATTGTGTATGGGTTCCGATTTTGAGCGTGCCGTATAGGCGTATACCAATGAATTGAATATAGTGTAAACGGCGCTAAAGCCCGTCCGCGCACTTGAACGAAGCTACCGCAAGCGCTCTTTAGGCAATGATTTGATCTTTAATTCTTGTCTTTCAATCGAATGTTTCTAGAATTTTGTTCGTCTTACCAAATACAATGTGGAAGAGATATCACTGAATTTATCAGTCTTTAACCTAATACTTAGGAAGGTCAAGGGAAGATGAATGTGCGTGTGCCGCATTTTATTCATTATTGATAAATCATAAATCATAATCACAAGTTGTTTACAACACTCGCGGCTGTGTTGTATCACAGACAATTTAGAAGACGGAAGATGTTTTCTGGATTGTCTATGGTTGTGTTAAATATACAGTCATGAGCGCGCATTCAATACAACGCGGCCGCGAGTGTTGTAAACATTATACGGCGTTCATGCATTCTTTTATTTTGCTTATTTTTATAGTAATGCTGACGATTTTGTCCCAGTTTTCCTCAAGAAGTAGGCCAATATTTTGAGCTACATATATTATACATCTTCTTTTCCTGGCGTTTATACTTCGAACAAATTTTGGGAGGCTCTGTTCCATCTTTCGCAATAGTAAGAAAAAAGCTGGCCCACATACCGTGCTTTACGCAGAGCGATCTTACCGGACAATAACTAACCCTAGCGACCTAATCTTTGTTGTCTGAAAACACGCTGCGTGAAATTAAACACTTTGCAACAGCTTGTATTAATATGTCTTCAGATGACAGTAAACACTTCCGCTCTAATATTTGTGTTAAGCACTCTTAGAACACTTAACTTTCAACTACCACTGAAGGCATAACCGGTATCGTTACAGCTTCCTGCTCAGGTTAGTTTTTTTTGGAAAGATGCATTGTAAGCGTTAGTTTTTTTGGAAAGATGCATTGTAGGCGATGTTTGTTTACAAAAATATGTCGACAAGTCTCGTCACCTGAAAAATGTACTTCAGCGGTGTCATATTGTGTTATAGCGGGTGAGAATACAAGCCTAAACGACCAAAATTATTGTATACATAACATTGAATCTTATGTAGTAAATTCAAAAATCTTCACTAATATAAAAAAAAACTTTTGTTAAACAGCGAAAAAACAGAATAAAAAGCAAAATGCTGGAGTTATCCGCCTTGCCTGTTGTGGCTAGAATAATAGAATAATGATCTTGCTATTTTTCGCACTTGCTATATTTCTTAATTTTAATATTTTATTCGCCAACTGAATCATTCAAAACACGCATATATTGTCATGGGTTGCCTAAGCGATGTCACCATTACCGATTTATCGTTAAATTTATATATTACATATTATATGATATATATCAATTTATATAAGTTTATATATTCATTGCGTTCATATATAGTCCATATATTCGTCTCGTAATGTAGCTACTACACTGAATAATCGCTTGTCACGAAAAATTCAAGTGGTCTTAATTCTTAAAGAGGCAATGATTAGTGTCTACCAAATGCTTATGCTTCATTCATTTGGGATACCTTTACAGGCTTCAGTACGGGCTATACCGACGCCGTCACCGGGGGAATTGGTAAGACGCAATTCCTAATACTTAGCTTCAAACTTGGTGAGAAATAAGATTTATAAATACTCAACAAAATATGTCTTGCGCAAAAGATTTGAAGCTTGCACACGGCAAAAACGAATTGTCTGAATTAATAACCTTGGTGTACTTCAGGCCTGAAGTGGCCATTTCACAGCCTTCAGATGCATGTGTATGATGAGCTGTCAAAAGATTGCAGAATGCTTATTCAGAAGAAAAATAGAACTCTCTAAAGTTATTCAATAGTTTTCTCTTTGATAGCGATATACAGAAATGCGTTGTGAATCAGTGATGAGATTTTAGCAAGCCGGTATTGCATAAACGGGTCCCGACAGGTTCTGTGTTACAGGGCAAATTAAAAACAGCTTATAATCCAATCATTCAGTGATATAAACACACTCAATTGCTATGTAGTGCCGCCTGGCCCAGCTGAATCCAATTAGAACAACAATTCATCGAACAAGCACAAGTAAGGGCATTGCATATTTTCCTAATTTCAAAGCACGGATTTTACACCTCTGCTCAGGAACGCAATCTATGCAAAAACACTAACCTTGAAATAGGCTAAAGACACTGAAAACTGCGACGAACCAAACGGGTGAACTTAAAAACTTGAGATATTTTGGTCGAATCTTCCCCCATCCATAGCTGGTGCATTCGTCCTTGTTGTTTGAAATATCCTCTGTTTTCTCCAATGGTGGCGCTGTTTTATTCGTAATCACATTACTGTTTTTGTCCTCCATGATAAGATCTAGGACTCCTAAAGTTAAGAAGTAGCATTACCCTGTAAAAAGTTCAGTTGAAGGAGCTGTAATACACTGTCTCACCCACGAAGGACTGACATATAATGAGAGCGGAATTTTGTTCACCCCCTGTAAATTGCCCCTTGTAACAAACACGGTTGGGGCAAAATTGAGAAACAAATACTTGAATGCATCATTCCAAGTGATTGAATTACAATTATTGCGATATTTTCATTATATTGCTGACGTAAAAAGCGCGATTATTAGTGTGTATTATAAGGCGTCGAATTGGTCAGAATTGGTCAACAGAGTTACAGAGGTAGGCTTACTTTGGCTTATAAACAAATAATATTGTTTACACGGGGAAAATTGCGTGACCCGCTGCTTTGTCAGGTTTTCACACAAAAAACTTCATCCGTACCTGTCATCCTTAATAATTACTCAGTAATCACTGTTAACTAGAGTTACTAGAAATACATTTATCTAGAATTTCCAACGACATTTCAAAGTAAGGAAATAATTTTGTAATGAAGCCAAACCTAAAATGAGTCAAGGTACCATACAGCTAGTACTGCCATTACTCGACATAAAATTAGTCAAAATAGTCAGTGAAATAAGCATTGCTTGCACGTCACCATTTTGTTTAATTTTAAAATACTTGTCTTTGATTGTATAGAAGAGTTGCGCAATTCTTTATCGAATTCTACCGAAATTGGGCTGTTTTTGCTAAAATCATGTGATAATTTGGGCAATTTAATTGTACGTATACTCTTAAGTCGGGCAACTTTTATTGAAATGATCCCCGAAATTGTTAAGGACTGCTATTCTGTAGATTTAGATATATTTTTTATCTTTCATGCTTGCTTTGTTGCGTGTAAAGTCGCTCTAAATAGATTCCTGATCGCCTTTTTCTTTATCTGATTGGCTTTACTCGTTTGAATTTCGCGCATGTCAGGATAACGATGATCATCGAACGTCCATGACATAGAATTTGAACTTCGCTTTGAACGACTTTGGTTTCCGCATTGTTCTTTCAGAATGCCCAGTAATAAAAGACACAAGTTATTCGTTTCAAGTTATTCAAACTATTCGTTTTATTTTGATTTTGGTCCAAGAACATGCAGGATTTGTCCGGACACGAATCCTAGCTTGTTCATTCTTATTCATTGTAAAACTATAGCACTAATATATTTATTGTGTCAAATCTGTTCACAGGATCTAATTTTGCCGGATCCAACTCAGTCCCTATGTTATTGATAAGGCAGCACTGCATCCGCTTTTGTAGATTTCCTGCCCATATACATATACATTACTTGCAAGGCCACTGACTGTAAAACATCCGTCAGAAGTAAACTGGGTCGTGTGAAGATACTGAAGCAGATCGTTTTATGCAAGTTAAGGAATATTGTAGTTTAAAATGTAACCAAATCGTTTGTTTACATCATTGACAGACCATCACCTTTAAAATTCTTATAGAAAACTAAAATCAATAAAAAATGCATAGTTCAATAGAAAATTTCGAGCCAGTGGGATTATAGTCATTTATACAGCCTTCCGTCGTTGTTTACATAACAATCGAAAACCTCAGCTATAACTTTGGAGTAACTATTCAGGTGATCTGAGATAATGACGTCATAAAGCGTCTCGACAAAACTGAGTTATCATGCACTTGGTGATATTTGCCCCTATTCTTCTAACTAACTAATAATACAAAGGGTGAAAAATTTACATTATAATTTGCAGTTGAGAAAAAATAAGCGTGTTTTCACATAAATATGATAAAATTACTTGATATTTTCGAGTGTCGAAGTCAAATGCAATGAAGGAAATGATAATTCAGTTTTGTCGAAGATCTGGCTTCTGATTGGTTGATTTTTATACCCAAATCAGCTGGATAAACCCAAATTTTCCCACTGTTTACCAATAAAATGTACATCCTCTTAACCTTCGCCGTGGGCATGACCAAAGCCGAGTTTGAGAATCTCGTGAAGGTACGAATTTTGAGTACCGTACAAGATGGCGACTATAATCAAGTATTACACACTTAACTGAATTATTCACAATCACTGGCTAAAGCTATAAGAATATCAAGATGGCGACAATCGTCTCTAAATTTTACATTCGGATGACTGCGGGGCAAAAACCAGGTTTATTCATATTGATAACTTGTACTCATTTCCCTGGCAATCTCACTGTATTGCTCGGCCGTAGTTTCGATTTTTGTCTGAGGAATGCGAGTTCTATATATAATTATTTAGCGGCCGTTCCTTTAATTCAAGTACTAAAATTATTGTACTTTCTCTAGTATTTGCTTTAAAATGCAATCTTCATTTAAATCTCTCTATTCAATTTTATATAGCGTGCAAACTATTATTTACATGTACAGTAGGAGGCAAAAGTTTGAGTCCAGTCTTTGTAGAATTCCAGTATTAAATCCTAGCAGCGTATTCGAGTTAGGACATGCGTGCTAATGTTTCAGTACTGTAAGCAATATTAATTGCTCACTATTTTGGTCTTAATGATCTACATTATAACAAAATAAAGTTCTTATTCCTTTAAACTGCCAAAGATGGGTGGGAAAAAGGGCAAAGTGATGGTGCACAAAGGAGAACTAGTTGCATTAAGTATTGAAGGATTCTTTCCCCGTATGATCGCAGAAAAAGTGAGAATTTTAAAAGGTGGTATGCAACTAACCTTGGAGAGGTTCGAAGAAACTAAATCCTACTCAAGCAAACATTATTTAGCTGCTTCAGTCATGCTGGGTTTGGCAATATTGAAAGATATAATAGGATCCTAATTAAAGAAAAGTATCATCCAATTCTTCAAGGACATGGAATTTCATCTGGTACAAAGATGATTGCGCGTTTAACTATACATGATAATCACCCTAAGCACATGCACATCTTCTATGTGCAAGATATCTTTTAGAAGCAAACTCGTTCCGGTGATCTCGTTCTCATGGCTTTCCACCTCAAATTCCAGATCTAAAACTTATGGAGCACTTGTAGGACCGTTTTAACCGGGAAAGGACGAGGCACAGACCCACCAGCCAGGATGACTTGAGGCAAGTGGTCAACGAATGCTGGCAAGGTATTGAACGTGCGACATTAAAAAACTTATGGAATCTATGCCAGCAAGAATAAAGGCTACTTCAAGAGCAAAAAAGAGGGATACTCAGCAATGACATGTAATGCATGTTTGCACATTAACATACGTTAAATGAATATCATAACATCTCATAGTTGTTGTACAGCATGTATTTTTCAGTTTACTTATTTACTTTTTTCTAGTTCACTTGTCGGTAAGGTTTTCGGTAGAAAATTAATATATGCTGCTAAAACAATGAAATACAGTCGCTGGACTCAAACTTTTGCCTCCTACTGTACATTACCTTTAAAGATGATGTAAATCCGTTCTTCACAAATTTTCTGCTCATAACAATTGAAATAAACAAAACTCCAAAAGTTTTAACTCTAACATTGGATGTTGAAGTCCCAGAATATTAATGCCTTGTTTCCATTAAATCGTTAGTGTCGTGAACATGTCAAGGTGGGTGATGTGAAAGAATATTGCAATATGTGTGCAGTCAACAGTGACTGATTTGAATACGGAAATAAAGACAAATTTATACAACAGAACTATTTCTAATCGGTGAAAATTACTTTCACGACAATTACGATTAAATGGAAACCAGGTTTAATATTCCAACAGTCATGTCGCGACACATAGAGTAGAAAGCTTTAGCAGTGACTACGAGTATGACTACGAGTCATTTTCGCACCAAGTTGGTGCTTTTGCTTACGCCATCTGACGAAACTCGTGGTCGTTGGGCTGTGGAGTACGAAATTTGCCAACAAACTCGTACTCAATAACTCGGCGACTAAAGCTCTTTACTGCTAAAGCTACCTAATGTTGCTTTCAGATTGATGTAAGCAGAAGATATGCGGAGAGCGGGCTTCATATCATCTTTATATCATCCGCCATTTTCATCATTCTTCCTATCTGTGCTCAATTTCTTGATTAGATTAACACGACGAGTGAAAACACATATTTACAAAACTTTTCAAAGCATTACAGAGGTGTCTCATCGGGTGGCACTGGATCAGCACCTTCGTTTTCGAAACCAGCGATTTCCGCTTTCGTTTGGTTCGGTTTGCAGAAATACCAGGACAAGAAGTAGAAAATGGTTGTTAACACTGAAAGAAAAAATAGCAAATATAAGCACAAAGCAACAATGTTTGATTTGTTGAACTTATCTGCTGTCTTAACTGATTTCCACCACGCTTACGGAAAATTGGAAAGAAAGTAAAGAATTCTGCAACAAAATGCGCAGCCTGATTTACACACATTAGCCGGTATCATGCAAATGTGGGTTTAAAAAGCCAAGTTATATCCTAGCATGCACTTTTTAGAGAGAGTTGATACAAAAAATAGCAAATGATACAAAAATAAAAAAATATTATTCACCAAAAACAGAACAAGTTTGTGAACAGAACAAGTTTACGGAACAGGCTCACTAGTGTCGAATATTACCTCAAAGTTATTTTTACCGCAAAAGAGACTGCTTTAAATTGAATGTCTTCTGTAAGGGCTCAAATGTTGGGTTCACGAGATGTTACCAGATATAATTCGACTGCGTTTCTTAGCTTTCGCAAAATGGAAAAATTGAAAGCGCGCATCGGCCACTCCTTTTTCAAACAAAATTGGTCATACCTGCAACAACCACACCAAACAATGTAATATTTCGACTCAGTGACACGATATCGTAATCAAAGCATCTTCCTTTTCTTCCACATATATTTTGCCATAACCGGCAGGATTCATCCACTATGTGACCGAATACAATGGGAGAAGGAAGAAGACCGATTGTTTTGTAAATCACATACGTGACCCCGGAAGCAAATGCACGTTTGTCATCAGGAACACACCTTCGGGAAAATATTGAATGATAAAACTTGGCAAAGTTGAGCATTCCAGCTTTTACTACAGTACAGCAACACGCCTACGCCTTGTGGCCTCGTGAAATATTTGGCACTCTTTCATCGAGTTTAAAAGCAGCATTTCCTCATTAAAATTCATTAGAATATTATTTTTCTATGACACTTGTGGCTTGAGCTATTATGTGGCTATAAAATGCCTATACTTTAATTTAAACCACTACAAGCAGTTTATGTTTTCTGACGGTTGTCAGAGAGTTCCTCTTGTTCAAATTATCGCAATACACGCGTTCGCTTCATTCATTTTAAATCTAAATATTTCAGCTCAATAAATAGATCATTTTGTTAATATCCACAGTTTAAGCTATCATAAGTTTCAGTTTTAACAAAAGCATATAAACGTGAAAGAGTGGGGGAAAGTTAAAAACAAAGTACGCATACATAAGGTTAAAAACAAAGTAAGTACAGAAAAATAGTCATCTAACCTTAGGGTAACTGTTCTTGTTGGGACAAGCGCTGTAAAGCGAATTACCGACGATATGACGACGACCACCGAAAATATCACGATGTTCTTACAATTCCGATCACAGTAACCAAGTCTAGCTGAACCTCCCTCTTTTCTAGTCTTGCCTGGTATGCAGGAGCAATTTGAGAATGTCTAGAACAGAAAGTTAATTGGAACTTTTCAAAATAGGGCTTTGGAATAGTGTGTTCGTTTCATCACCGCACTGTTATGAAGTTTATATTCTTGAATGCTCAGCTTGTCAGTGATGAAGCCTAATCTCTCCACTTTGTATAAATAAACATGCGAAACACGTTGGGAATGTGTTGAAAGACCTTGCATGCCTCTCAGGCCAGGTATTTAAATAAACACCTTTTCATTTACCAGGCTTATGTAATCTCGCGCGCTTATATGTGTTTTAGCCAATCAGCGCTCAGAAAGTTTGTCAAAATAGAAATCCATTCTGGAATCCGTCACCAAAAAAGAAAGAAAAGAAAATTCCTGGAATTGAACTAGTCCCGTTTAAGTTTTCTTTGCATAAGAACAAAATTTCGTTAATTCTGACCTTGTTACGATGTCGTTGTGTGCAACCAGCATGACACGAATCAAAGTATGTCAAATTATCAGATCCACACACAGGCGAGAACGACTTTAGAGAACAACCACAATTCTTATTACATCGGGATTTCAGTAAGCCGAAATTGCTTGACTGATTACGGTTCGGGCTAAAGAAAACAATACAATAGTAAGAATGAATGGTCTTGCATTCAACTTTTTAAGGTAAAGCAACATGAAATTGCTGTGCATAGAAAAATTAAAATCCAGCAACAATTCCAACTGTTTGGATCACGCTGTTGAAACACGGAAACCTGTTGGCATAAAATCATGAAACCTCATAAATTCCATACTGGATTCATTTAAAAATTTTGAGCGAAATGCGCTTGCTTTTTGCGAAAACTTGCTGTATTCGGATAATAATGTTATCCATGAAACAGCGCAATCATTAAACAGCGCATGTGTACAATAAATGTCGTTTTTCTCTATAGTTATATAAGTCTAACTCAGAACGATCTTGGAACTCAAATCTTGACATTAAACTTTAATTGTTTTACGTTAAAGCATCAGTGGCCATAAAGATTTGTAATTAGCTTAGCCTGCTTAGGTACTTTAGAAATCTTCAGACCGTATAAGGTTTCAAATTATTCAGAACGGAATGCCATCCAGCACAAAGAGCTGTCTTCTGGCAGAAAATAACAGGCATTACTTTTACCTGCGGTATTGTACAGCAACGCCAGCAATATTTGCATTTTCGCAAGCTGGTATCAAGTATATTAGGGTTCCTCCAATTACCAGTAAATTACAAATGGCGGTCGCGGCTGCAGCCTTCTTGCATGTCGTCTTCAATGAAAACAATCGAACAATTATAGACCCGCTGATAATTCCAACTAAATGACAAGAAGAGCAAAGAATGTCCTTAAAATCAACTAAACTTTAGTAGGTACATTTTAAATTAGAGCTGTATAGTAGTTTATTCAGCTTTACCCTGGATCTCCCGGCACTCCAATTAACTCGTGCATGGTGAAAGCACTGTTATATTTAAACAGTGTACAGCACTGTTCAGAAATTTAATAACCTAACTGAACATATATATAGTTGCGTGTTTCGTTAAATAGACTTCTATAAAAGTCTACTCTTGGCCATATTAAGTTACAATCTCATTGGGAAACGGCTTCAGCTTTATTTATGTTAAAATGATGTAAAAAATTCATATTTATATATTTTGACAGGAATTAATTGTTACGTGATTTGATAAAATGATATATATTATACTCACTCACTGCTCCCGTAAAATTTATGATCGCTAAAACGTATCCAGCCCGGACAGCATCCAGGCCAAACTTCATGCGTAATATTTTGGAGAAGAATATGGCTATCGCTGTAGAATAGAAGAGCAAACACGTCAAACCCAACGTATTGAAGACATAGGTGAGGTTCTTCAAAAGGTCTTTCAATTCCGATGGAACTCTTCTCAGACTTGGCTGTTTTGAATCGTTGCTCGGTTTAATATTCCCCTCGCGAATGTGATTTAGCCGTCTCTCCCTCGCCCCAGGCATCATGCGAGGAAATCCAGATATGACGAAAGAACAGAGAATGATAAGCACTCCGAATATAAGAAATCCCATCCACCACGCTCCGATCCACCGCGGATCCTTCGGCGTTAACCTGAAACCATTAGGCTGAAAAGTAGAAGATCACGAAACTATAATTTATTTCAATAGCTGAATATAATACCATCAGGTAGAAATGAAAATAAATATGGAGCTGTTTTGATTGGCCGAAATATTCCTCATCGGCTAGTTTTTTTTAACACTGTAGATTTCAGTTAATATATATCTTAGTATGCCAATAAATCAATATTTCCCTGTAATTCCAAGTCTGTATCTTTGGTGACCAGCTTGACTTATAGGGCTGCTTTTCACTGTCGCGTTTTTGTGCACGTAAACCCACCTGAAAGCTTAAAACCTTGTTCTGCAACCAATATCTTTAGCCAGAAAAACACACCAAATCGTCCACAGAATCGAGCCTTATGCATCTATTCAATCGTTGATTTCGTTGAAGTATCATTTAAAACACTTTGACCTTTTACGTGCGTGTACGTACAAAAAACGCGACGGTTGAAAACAACTCTTACTATGATTTTTTGCACATGTTTCATTCAAACTAGAAGGCGACTGAAGATTAACATTATTTTCATTTGAATTTATTTTACACGAAAACAAATTGAGCTTAAATGACGACAGCAGTTTTTTTTTGGAAATAGTGAAACGTGAGACCGTGTCGTCCGTGTTGTTATATAGACGCATCACGTCATTTATTCGCCATTTTCACATTGTCTTTGACGTTCACGTCCTCATGCTAAATCTCTTTATAATATAAGTATGATATAACGAGCAATTTGATTGGCTACCGCGCGTGCATTGTGAGGCCATAATGCACGCTTCTGGCTTTTGAAGTTTTTGTTGCTAAGCAACATCTTAAATAACATGTAAGGAGAATTTCATTATTGATCAAATAAATAAATGTTGTTGTTGCCCTATGATTTCTTCTTATATTATAAAAGAATTAAAAAAGCTCGTCGCGTGCCTTTAATGCATGGGAAATGTTGGAAGAATACTCGAGAAGCTTGTAAAACACTCGGCTACGCCTCGTGTTTTACAAGCTTCTCTCGTATTCTCCCAACATTTCCCCATCGTGCATTATTACACCATAAAGGCACGCGACTCGTTTTTTAATTCTTAATTAATGTTCGTCAACCAAGTCAACAAGATTTTGATTGTATAAAAAAAGTATTTGTACGCAATAATACCTGCTCTATATCAACGTAGATGCTTAAAAACTTCCCACCAATTATGAAGCCGATGCCGGGGGATATAAATTGGATAACGTTACAAATTCCCAAATACAATGGGAAGGATTTGGGTTTGACATTTTCATCCAGGTATGCATTGAACAGGGAAAAATAAGGTGCGCTACCAGCACCCATGGTTAACATAGCTATGATAAACACTGCCAGGTAGTACCAATCCCCTCCGCTGTTTTCACTGACGCATTGCGCCATCGTTCCGTTCCCATGACTACATAAACCTTGGTGACGTGAACTCCCCGGATAATACCGACCAATCATAAAGTGAGGTATAGCGAAGATAATTACGCCAAGACCTGTAACCCCAGCCAAATATGAGTAATACTTTAATATACTAGAGGTGGATGCGAAGGAGACTAAAGATGGTCATCGGTCTGACTACGGGTTGAATAGACTGAAAAGCTTTTGAAGCTTTCGAATCATCTCACAACATTTTCGACATATTTTTCAACACTTTTTGTAAACGTTTTAATAAGATTTTGCAATTTTTCTAGATTTAAATATTCTTAGGGGGACAATGTAGTCCACCTGGAATGCCTATTGGAACCGACCGCCTAGTTTGCCTACGTGAAAAAGGTATTGTTAGAAAGCATAGATAAAAGTTGTTAGATATATGCACATCATATTATGCCCCTCGGGATTGAATCGAGCCTACGATTAAAGGTTGAAAACCTCGCTGGCTCGCCTCGATGGCAGAAATTGTTGACACGAACCTTGTCATTCTAAAAAAGCTGGTCTAAAGACTCGTCAAATGAATTTTCCAGAAAAGACGTTGTGTTACCTAATAGAGCCAGTTAGAGGCGATGAAAAGACGCGAAGTGTTTTTCACAAGATGCCTATTTTTTTTTTTAAATCGCCTAAAGTAGATCATGCGTCATCGCTTCAGAACTGAAAACAGGCCACTTAGTAGAATGATTATGGACACCTAACCTACAGTTATTTTGGAAATATGTTGAAGAACCTAGTTGAAATTTATAATAGTTCCAACTAGTTCGTCTCTGGTTCGACAGAATGCCCTATAAATTAAGACCACGCCCTAATCCTTAAGGCTTTATCCACCCAAGGGGTACGCTCTTGTGAGAAACTTATTTACGGATTTTACTAAACAGCAGACGTGTCATGTATATATACCTGTCACTAAAGCGCCTCCACTCATTAATCTTATTTTATTGCCATAATCTCCATAGTAACTGATAAACACAACAATCAACAATCCCGAGATGTCGTTCGACGCCGCAATCACCCCCAACTCTTTGGCAGAGAAAGAAAATCTTCGCTCAATACTTGGCAAAACCAAATTCGGCAAACCCCACGAAGCTATGCCTGAATAAAAGAAAGTGATGTATAAAATATTATATAAAGCCTGGAGCAGTGGGACAATAGCGCACAAGGACTGACGGAGCCCTCACGTACACATTTTTAATATTTATTTTTAATCAGTCCTTAACCTGGCCGGATTTGAAGGTATTAAAGTCCATACGGCTTAAGCATAATGAGGAACAAATACCATGAAGTTTTAGGGTAGGCCAAGGGTAGACTATTTCGTACTTCTCTTATTTCTGGCATGGATTATATTCTTTGGGTTAGGTTTTATTATGCTGCATGGGGACTTATTTGCGTTGCTTTTAATGATTAGGCCCCTACATTTAATCTAACTGCAGATATTTTGTATTCTATCGTTCATAGTGCATGTGGCCTTTCAGTCTGAAAGAGCCACCATTACACACACACATTGAGAAAATCAACCAATTTTTAGCACTCAAATCAACCAATTGATCTAACTACACTTTATACAACCTGCCCAGATAAAAAGAAATAAAGTTTAGCCCCCCCCCCCCCACCTTCTTTGTATTCAACAAAACAAACATATGTAAATTAAGACTGGTTTCCATAATTCCATTTAGTCATAATCGAACATGCCAAGGTGCATGGTTGATGTATTAGAATATTGCTATGTATACGTGCAGTGGACCCAATTTACATAAAGAGAATAAAGATAAATTGACAATTGCACTATTTCACATCGTTGAAGAAGACGTGTTTACGACAATCACGACTTGATTAATTGTAACCAGCACTTAATGCCAATATCTCATTTTCGGCTATAAATCATCAACCTATAAATCATCAACCTATAAATCATCAACCTATAAATCATCAACCTATACATATACAATTGTGAATTGTCACTACCACTATAATGACAAGCTTCTGTTTCTAGATCATAAATTTGTTGATGTACATCTTCAAGGACATTTTGCTGCCGCAAAGCAAAATAACTATTAATAACATCCCAAATCTATAATAATTTTTTTTTATATTTCGTCAATCATTGAACCAATATATTGTCATGGGAAGCCATTCGTTATACGATTAGAATCCTCACACGTAAATATGGTAAGAGTTCATTCGCATTATAAAACACCGAAGGTAAAAGTCAAAACCTTCCCATTTTATTAAAAAAATTAGTAGACATCTCAAACAAATTCTTCACATTCATCAAGTTAGGTATAACCCTATCTTTTCCGAATATTCACTCACAACCTTCCTGACTAACAAAAAAGACTTTCGCTGAAGACTTCTGTAAACTCTCGTGCACGATAAATTCGCTTCGTTTCGTGCGCAAAAATGAGAATATCACTGAGAGAATTTTGAAATAGAAGAATAAAAAAACTTGCGAATTTTGGCCGAAGAATGCTGTTAGCCAGTAGTATATAAAATAACCGCATTATGCACGAAACTACCTGCTGTTTCTAAAAAGCGAACAAAAACACTGATCTATACGAGCCTTAATTTAACAGCAGGTTCGTGTTCACCAAGAGACAACGGTTATTTGCAAAGGGTAATGCATTTAGTATATTTATCATTTTGGGTCCATATGATACTATATCTCCACTGTCTTTCAAAGTCACAAAACCGATAGCAATCCGGTATGGATAGGACCAGAAACGAAATGCTGAAATGTATGGATAGGACCAGAGACGAAATGCTGAAATGTATGGATCAGGACCAGAGATGAAATGCTGGAATGTATGGATAGGACCAGAGACGAAATGCTGAAATGTGTGGATAGGACCAGAGACGAAATGCTGAAATGTATGGATAGGACCAGAGATGAAATGCTGAAATGTATGGATAGGACCAGAGACGAAATGCTGGAATGTATGGGTAGGACCAGAGACGAAATGCTGGAATGTATGGATAGGACCGGAGATGAAATGCTGAAATGTATGGATAGGACCAGAGACGAAATGCTGGAATGTATGGATAGGACCAGAGACGAAATGCTGAAATGTATGGATAGGACCAGAGACGAAATGCTGAAATGTATGGATAGGACCAGAGACGAAATGCTGAAATGTATGGATAGGACCAGAGACGAAATGCTGAAATGTATGGATAGGACCAGAGACGAAATGCTGGAATGTATGGATAGGACCAGAGACGAAATACGAATCTCGTTAACACTAATTTTGGAGCATGTATTTAGCGCAACAATAAATCAGTTAATCCTCTCAGTCGATGATTGTATGAGCTAACTCGATCAATCACTGCATCGATTTGTTAGTCCCAACTAGATTTAATGAATCAGTAGTATAAGCCAATTATACTATAGTTTCTTAATCTACAAAAGAGGGATTTCAACGTCCCTTATTTAGAAACGCCGTCATTGCATAAATACCAACCTTGAAAGACGTTATAAACGCTGAAAACTGCGACGAACCATATTGGTGAACTTAGGAACTTGAGGGATTTCGGTCGAATCTTTCCCCATCCGAAGACGGTACATTCTTCCTTGTTTTCCGAATTACCCTCCGATTTTCCCAATGGCGCTCTTTTATTCGCAATCCCATTACTGTTTTGATCCTCCATGATAACAACTTGGACTCCTGAAGTGAAGAAGTGGCATTACCCTGTTATATAAGAGCTGACCGAGCTGTAAGCCCCCGTCTTGACACACGAAGGGCAGACATATCATTATAGCGGAACCTGTTTACCCCCTGTAAACATCTCCTTAGCAACAAGTTGCCAGGTCAAAATCGGGAAAGAACATTCTTGCTCATGTATCAAGCGATTAAATTACAACATGATTTGCCAAAGACTAAACCAAATGACAGATAATATCTTTGCCTTATTGCAAACAAAAAAAGCAAAATTCTTGCGGCGCATTAGATGACTACTTTGTTGGACTCAAAAATAAATCGCTTTTACTAAGCGTTAACAAAGATAACAATGAGAAACTAAACATAGACGGTGTGATAATTATACTTCACAAAGACAAAACCCTTATCAAAACTCGTCACGAATTAATCAGATTATCAATAGCATGCGGCTGGACATGAACAATGAAGGATCGCGTGTGTTGTTGTCGGTAACCATGGCAACTTTATCAAATTGAACCATTGCCATTTTGGTAGGATTAATAATCATCGATTTGCGCGATGTTTTACGTTTGTCAGTGCAGCTTTGTAACATGCAGAAAGCTATTAAAATTTTTTTAAAAAAAATGAAATATAGATGAATCTCAAATTCAAAATATTAATGATGTGATTAGCCCTCCTGCAATTTTATCTTTCATATTTTTGCTCAAATGAAGGCAATTTTTCAACTAGTAGTGGCCCTAGTCTAATACCAAGCCTGGTAGTCATTGATACTGATACTACTCTTGGTTTATCAATCCGCTTTGCAGCTTATTAAATTCAGATTGCAGCTTTATTAAATGCATCAGGATATGAATGAATTTCCTCAGTATAAATATTACTGTAAATAAAATTTAAAAAGTGGCCACCCTGTACAGGTGATAAGTCTTTTGAATGATAAGTCTTTTCTCTCAATGATAAAATTATTGATAATAATAGCGATTTTTAAAAAATGTAAATGTAATAATGGCGATATAGTTTCTGTTCCACCTTTTCACTTGATACATCGCCAACAAATACATTTGTAACAAAGCGAAAAGGTCACCGATGTTATTGAGGTGCCAGATCCAATTAGTTGTATTCAGTGTTAATAAGATCTGCACGTAATTTACCAGCGAAGAGCCATCGCCAACGAAGTATTAACATTGAACTGATCAAAGACCCGAATGGGAAGAGTTAGAATTTAAACACAACGTTGAAACAGCCATTTGAAATCAACGGATTTAAGAACATACATATAAACGCATTACACAAATTCATGCCTGGCGTACATTTACTCGTAATTGTCGCGAACAAGTTATTTTTACCGAAGAGAAATTGTCAGGATCTAAATATGTCTTTATTTCTGTATCAAATCGGTCATTATTGACTGCGCACAAATAGAAATATTCTATCACTTCAGCCACTTTGACACGTTCAGTCGTTCACAACAATTACGATTAAATGGAAAGCAGAGACCCATACGTCACATCTAACATCCTCATTTGTTGAAGAATTTGTTGTCGAAATCACCTTGTTTTTATTCCGTTATCAGTGCTATTCAGTGTTGCTTCAACTGAATCTTAGTAAAATGGTTTTCCGTGTGTCAACCATGTTTGTGAATGTTTGTGAATAATTGTGTAATTTGTGTTGTTATTGAACGTCAACACATACGTACGTGTAACTGATCACAAGTTAGCGCTGGTCAAGGGTCGGGAATGGCAAGTCGAGAATAATGCCGACGGTCGATATTTACTGGTCGCGTTTTTACAGGACGATGTTAAGTGTCTTATCACATTACATTTTTTGAATTTCACAAATTAGCCGAAAATGTCCCCAACATATTTTTTCAAACGAGCCTACAAAATTAACTATTGCATGTATTACATTAAGTTTGACCTTGTGCATTCATAAGTGCAAGACTCACAGCAAGACAGTTGATATTTCGAAAGGCATGTGAATGTGATATTAAATTAAGATAACTTAAAGCCACCTCCAGTCGACATATGGAGCGCAGCTGTATGCGTGTTTCGACCTTCTTTAACACTAGGGTATATATTGCTGCAATAGGAAAACTACAAACTCATGCACGAAACATAAACGCAGCATCATTTACAATGCGTATAATAATGCGTATATAATGTTAAAACGCATTAAGCTTCATTATCATCTCATTATCCGTTATTCGAATTCCATTCGACGCAAATGTTTGGTGACAATAAGCCACTGTAGTTTAGCGGACTATGAAATGAGCTTGTTACAGAATTCAGTTTTTATAAAGTTTGCAGTATCTATGTATATATTTACATGTGATCGAGTTTTGTAAATTGCCATTTTGTAACAATAACCACCAGTTTTTTTATGATTCGTTCTTTTTTCTGAAATCAATTTCATAGTTGATTGTGTTATATTGTTATCATCCATAACACTATACTTTGTATTATATTGTTATCAACTATAACAAAACTAGTTCGAATAGGTAAGACCCGGCCAAAGTTTTTGTCAGCGCACAGGCTCACATTTTTTCTGCTTTTTTACTTACTCGTGATTTCCGTGACCGTTCTTACATTGACAGAATCAAATTTATTGGGAGAGCCGATCATAATTATGTGCCTAAAAATATGGTTTATTCTGTTTTCAGGGCTCTCGAAGACACAGTATAAATTGACAAAAATTCTAAAAATGCATTTGCACAAACAAAAGTCTTAAAATTCATTTTCTCCCAAAACTTCAACACGCAATGATTGGTATGACACGAGAGCTTGGATGACGCGGGCAACGGCCAGGTGAGGACACATTGTGGCCCCGAGCGCAAGGATTAAGCAAACCTTCCGGACGAAGAGAAGGGTGTTAATCGCAGAAAGATTTATTGTTGGTTTAATTGAACGTCATTGTTGAAATAAGCCTGAAGTGTGATAATGTTTACCCAGGGTGGTCCCTTGATGAAAAATAATTTTCCGGGAAACAATCCTAAGATTCCGAGATAAAGTGTTTTTCACTATGGCATCACTAGACACCGCAGAAATTGGTGTTTAAGACGTTTCAACCCGAAAATCTAATCGCTGGTTCACAATTGTGCATTTCTGTATCGCCCTATCAAAGAGAAACCTTTTGAATATCTTAAAAAAGTTCAATTTTTCTTCTGAATACGCATTCTGCAATCTTTTGACAGCTCATCATACACATCTGACCGCTGTGGAATGGCCATTTTGAGGCTTAAAGTATACACAAGGTTATTAATTCAGACGATTCGTTTTTACCATGAGCAAGCTTCAAATCTTTTGTGCAAGACATATTTTCTTGAATATTTATAAATCTTTTTCCTCACCAAGTTTGAAGTCTAAGTATCGAGAATTGCGGCTAAGCCTATACCAATTTCCGCGGTGTCGCATCACTATGGCCTAATGATGAACATAACTTCTATATAGTATTTTTTCGACTTGAAGTGATTAATCTTACAACGAAATGAGATTAAAGTATTAGAATTCTGGTTCAGTTTTATGAGAATTGAGAATATGCATTCTAAAGGTTTTTGAGAAAGCAAAACTGATTCAGTTTGCTTTCGCTTCTATACCTTTGGCTTACCGCGGCTTTGTTCTACAACATTAATTTAAAAACCAGGCCATAGCTTTATGTGAACATGAATATATAAATATTACACCCCAAAATGAAGCCTTTCTGCAATTTCACTGCGTGTTTCTGCATGACGATTTTCTCAATTTCAACACTATATATATATATAATACTATATATATATATATATATAATATTATATATATATATATAATATATATTATAATATTATATATATATATATATAAATATATATATATATATATATAAAAGGATGACTTATTTTTGCTACCGTGCCCTCAGTATGGCAGTAGCACTGAAACAAATACAGATTATTTACATCAGCAGTTAAAAGTTGCAATATACTTCTTAGCCACAAAATGGTCTAAAAAACACCTAAATATACTTAAAATCATCATCAATCATTACGCTGCGAAACTATGGTGAACCAAATAAATCACTTGACCGCTGCCAAAATAATGTAAAACTTAAAGTACTGCTTACGTATGTAATTCAGTAAAGAAAACAATAATACTATAGCTACACGCGCCTGCATACATGCATGCGTTTCCTCAAATAAAAACAAATGTTTGTTATTTTGAATGATTATAATCCTTAATAAGCTGATTGTTTTGTGTACTTAGACAATTTAATCGGATTTTTAGACTGGTCCTGTGCTTCCTGATAAAAACACAATTTTTGGATACACGCAAGAAACTATAGAACGTCAAAGAAAAAAAAGATCTAGAACTGCTATCGTTTGTTGCAAAACTGCTATCCTCAGTGCGAAGCCTTGAATATTTTGTACGATTTATGTTTTCGTAATAGTTGAACGATACCGCAAAAGTATCTTTTCAGTAGGGTGTTAAGAGCAACGCAAATCAATTTAAGAGAGTTGATAATCAAAACATTAGCGTATTTGCGGTTGACTAATCGTGTACCGGAATTTACAAATTCATATAATTATAATACTATAACAGATTTCTACGCACATGTGAGTGGAATGTTTACGGTTGGTAAGAGATTAAACTAAGTATATATATATAAATCAAGTTTTATCTAAATAGTTTTTGTTCAATTCGTAGAAGTGAATATATGATGGATTTAACATATTTCGTATATCAGGCTCATTACCTTACGAAATTCGTGTCGCTCAACAACTGCAACTGATCAGCTTTGATTCCTAAAAACTACGTTGACCTTGAAAACTATGTACACATGCAATAGTATATTCAAGTTAGATTCACCGTTTTTTAACAATCACACTGTACGCTGTGTTAACTTTCGGATTTGTATTTTGAGCCTTCTCGCGAAACGTGACCCTTCCTAGCTCACAGGCATGTGAAAGACCTGAATTATTTTGGCAGGTTTTCATATCACATATTTCGTCGTAATTCACATGACGCAATTTGTGGGGGAGCAATTATAGAATACCAACCAATGACCAACCCAAATCCTAACAAGTGAATGCCATACTGCATGGACAACCATCTTTTATGCTACGTAATGTAAGAATTGGTAAAGAACGGAGGGGGGTTCTATCCACTAAAATTGATCCCTTTAACAGATCTTTAGAATAAAGCACTATTAACCAAGGTATTCTATTATTGTACGGCAATGAAATGCCTATTAATTTTATAGATATAGTATAACTATTCAAGTCTCGGACATTAAAATTCTTCACTGTAAAATTTGACCTGTTTCGATAGCGATCCGGAACCGTGTAAACTGGGCTATGATGAAACGTTCGGCACAAGCATCGATATAATCGCTGCCGTTTCACGCAAGAATTCAAGTATAAGACAAGAGAATAGAAATTTCTCCATTTTGTCATTTTTGCATACTTTTTAATCGCAATGTTTGATCTGTCCTGCTTATGACTTTATGCTAAACATTATAATGAAATTAAATCAGGCTTTGTTACAGGTCTAAATTCCCTTGTGTCCGACAGTTAATTTCATCAAAGGCAATACATTATTTTATGCTGTAAATTAGTTAATAATTTAGGCCCATTTTACGCGATACTGGGCCAGATTTATTGAGATTTTATACGTTTGAAAGCTAGACGTCGCGAGAATGGAATTCGGCAACATGTAAACAAAGCCTTACTTTGAGCGACTTCTTTCAAAGTACAGCGGCTACACGAGCCGTCTGCACATGAAGGACCTTATAGTTCTTTTGGCAATATATATATAGCATTTTTACGCTTAATTAACACACCCAGCTTGGCGCAGACCCTAATTCTCTATTACTTAAAGAATTTAGCTACTTCATCTCACGTGCACTTACCCGATAAATGCAAAACGTGTTTCTAGATGGTCGATTATGCTTCGATATACCTCATATGTTTCAATTCTCAGGAGGTGACAATGATACGTTCACGCGCGCCTCGTGCCAAACAACTGATTTACAGTGGAACGATACACAGCCTTTATTACCCATTTCCCTAGACCCTTGTTGGGCTCTGAGTGTATCTTGTTTGTTTAGTCAGATTACAATTCTTGCGTCTTAACATTTTTTGTTTTGTTTAAGTTGTTTGATCTCATTATCGATGTCAAGACAGAGCAAATCATTACTCATGCTTGATGAGTTCAAACTTATTAAAATTTTGATAGGCTCTGTGAAGAGTAAACTCATTTTAGATTGTAACTATTACTGTGGCTAGTTTGGCCGCCATCTTTGAAGCCAAAGTCCAGTGCCAGTCTCTCTTTATTGTTTCCACCGGCGCGATCGACACCGTGCTGACGTGAACAACAGAAATGGACAAGCCAGTGCACTTGAAATTCGGTTCAAATTGTCTTAAAACTTAGCGGCGAGGTTATCTTTTTTGCCGGATTCTTGTCAGTTTTTCAATTTAGTTCACGTGTTGTATAATTGTCTGCCATAACCAGTACGTCATGTATTAGTGAAGGCAATAGCAGCCATGTTTTTTAATCTCAGTCGAAGAGAACTAGACTCTAGAGGAGTATGATTTGCTATTATTGGCGGGAAGAAACCATTCCTAAATATTTATCGATATTTTTCATCAATATAGTACCATTCTTCATACATTTGCCGGTGAATAACTCGTTTATAGGTCTATCATATACCCATCCATCCAATTTTAAAATGAGGTGAAATCTATAACATCACTAAATACTGACAAAATGACATTTCACAAAGTATGCATGCCAGGGAAGTACAATTGCTTCATTATTCATAGCCTATGTATATTTTAAAACTAAGAGATATATTTTTTAATCCAAGCACACTAGAGATATTTTTAGTAGGATTAGTTAAAAGAATTGACATTTTGTGTTATATATCAATAGCTATTGACTACTTAACGTATTGTCTAATTGGCAAATGACGTACGAACTCTTGAAGGTCATAAACACTTGAATTCTAGGGTTGAAGAATATTACGACATAAGCTATCACTGTATAAATTTGTTTTATTCTATTACGCCAAACCTAAAACGCGTTCGAATGAGACAAACACTGTGTGTCAACTCAGCTTTAGATCTTTTAGAACTCAGCGAGTCAGGGTTGAATGCCTTGGACCGCGGGTAACGTAAACATTAGTAGAGCATGTAAAGCTGAGAAACGTAGTCTCGTATTTAAAGGAAATAGCAGTTTAAAATGTCAAGGACCAAAAAAGCGAACGATTTACCGTCTATCTTGAACTGGATTATCTCTATAATTAGATTTTATGACATTCTCCACCTTGCGATTCGAGATAGGTCAGAGTGCCGAAGTGCGAGTTAATTTAGGAAAATAATGAGAGAAAAGTGTAGCTATCATGTCGACATGAGTGTAGGAATCGGTGGAAACACCTTCCCAACTTTCTAAGTGATGAGAAAAAAGTTCCTTTTCAAAGAAAAGTACCTTTTCCGCACCAACAGCATTGGTATGCCCTTCTGAAATATATGGGCTTTATCTGAATTGATATTGTTGGATAATTGTGGGATTCGTGCATTTTGCAGTAGAGTGGCATTAAAACGATTTTTTAAGAAAACCTGGCTTGCCGCCAGCGATATTTGGGTAATAAGACCGGCGCATATACTGATAATATCGCATTATTTTGTAATAGTTTACATAATAATTACAAGGTAAGGTAGCTATTGTAGTGTTGCATGTAAATGCTTCAAATGTTTCACTGAGGATTACCTATAAGGGGATACCTTCAATTTTAAATTCTCAAAGACTCTTTAGCCATTGGAAAATAAACTTTCTTGTGGGTGCTCTTTTTGTACGAAAGAGTTCCTTTGAAACAGTGAGCCCCCTCCCCAGTCCCCAAAATTCTAATTTCGCACACGATGCAGAGAGCTGAAGGAGATGGAGAAACCTCGTCAGGGATAGGGGGTGGGGTTGGGGTATAAAAAGCATAGAATATTCGAATTAATATCATTGTTCCCAGCAGTGTTGTTTATAGAGTGTCTTATATTAGATTGTTTGTTTTACTAATTGTCTTCATAATATATGTCCTCACTCCTCATTATCTCATCATGCTGTAAATGGTCGACAGAAAGCATTATTCACAACAACTGCTGTAGAATGACATCTTATTTCTGATAGCGAGGGCAAACTTGTCCAAGAATTCGGTAAAAAGTTGAAACAATCTGTTTTGCCTTTAACTTCATCCTGGACCGCACCATCTACTACCACAAGCGTGTCTTCCACTAAAACAGCCAAGCAGGAAGCTCGCTCGTCTTCCATGACCAATAGAATCTCACTCCAGCCGGTTTTAGATTCATACCCGATAATCTCATTGCTCACTTCTCCGTTCTTGTCAATTCCCCCGATTAACAACATTGATTCATCACGACGAACAGTTGCCATTTGGTAAACAGGCGAAGGTAATGGTGGCATTTCAAAACACTGATTTGATGTTATGTCGTAGATTTCCACGTCCGTTTCCGCTCCCATTCCACCAGCAATTAAAAGTTTGTCATCGAATAGTTCCACTCCATGCAACGCGCGCTTTTTCTTCATGCGACAAAGTAACCTGGATGAATAAGGTGGAACAAGACGTAACTCGTAGATTGTATCGAAAAACTCTTTTCCGTCAGCACCACCGACAATCAATAAACGATCTTCATACACTACGCACTTGTGAGCTGCAACTTTTATAGGAAGATTGACAGCAAACCTCTTCCATTCCTGAGGGTCGTTATCTAAATCAAATACTTCAATGCTATCTGTGGGATCGTCGTACGAGGACGTGGTGAGGCCGCCACAGACGAGTATTTTGTTGTTAAATATAACACTTGCATGGCAATATCTTGCTGTTTTCAGCGCAGGTAGGTGGTTCCAGATTTGGCTGAATAAATCGAATCCCTCAACGGAAGAAACGGGTTCCCGTGACGTGGGATCTTGACCGGCGATAACCAAAATAACACATCTCGGGGTGTGCAGATTTTGACGAGACTGGTCAATAGCCGTCGTTCGTTCATTGCTTTCCCTAATCTCATTCCTCATTTCGCTTTGTCCGGCCTTCATTTCTTCCTTTATCTTGCCGTCCACATCGACGTGTGCCTCCTCTCTCGATAACGTCGAAAAAGCGGTTAAAAGCCTCTCTCTTCCTGGTAACAACCGATCGTATAATTATACGCGACAAACAATTTTCGATAATTCTTGGTGCTTTTCTCAGCGTCTCTACGGTCAGTTCTTTTTTACAGACTGGCCGACAAGCGTGCGAGATCTTCTCTAGATGTTCCTTGATGCACCCAGAACAAACTGAAATCGATTGTTTTCTTCTCGTATCGGGTCTTTTAAAACAGGAAGAGGAATCGAGCAAACAAAGGCCTCGTCAAAGAACGACTTCAAACAAACTGTCTCGTAACCCGAAGACTAATTCGCTTTGCCGTAAGTGACATCTTCTTGTTCAGGTTACGATTTCATTTCTTTCATTCTGTTCAAGAGTTTAAAGCATAATAAAGCGGTAGTTGTGATGAATGTAAGAATGTTCGTCCTGTTATATCGAGAATATGTCTTCTAGAAATGCTCATTCGAAAAACTGTCTTGTCATCAAGATTAAATTTGAAAACTATACGTATATAATTAGTTTCTGATAAGAAATCGTGATCATAGCAGAGCAGGTTAAAACAATCGAAGGGACTCGTCATGGTGCCGTTATCACGCTGTGCTAATAAGCACCCTCGCAACATATTTCTAAGGGTCTTGAAAATTTCCACGCAAGGTAGAAACAGTTGCTATGGCGGCGCTGGAGATTATTCAAAACAGCTGAAATAAGCATATTTTATGATGACTGCGCGTGATTTAAGTCAGGAAGTTGTATGTTTTCTGTTGCGAGTCTTTGGAATTTGTGCCGGGAAAAGCTAAATATTACGTTGAAGTGCAAAATTATGAAAAATCTATCATCTCCTGCGCGCTCAGAGCCTTGCAGCTACGGGTATAGCCGTATTATATTCAATGAGACATTTAAATGCAAATTATGTTTACATCGAGAGGCTGAAGTCTGCTAGGAAAGGATTTTCGAAATAACGTCAGAAATTTTCTGAAATATGGTTGAATAAGAGTTATTATAAAACTCAGCCTTAAATAATTACGGTTAGCGGTGCAACAAATGAAATCAGTTATAAGAATGTGACTGAATTTGTCACTATTCAAAACACTTACATAGTTAATACACCGTAAGCATTTAGGTAACGGAAATTATAAAATGAATGTAACGTGTGTACAGATTGATCAGCCCGTGTTTGGATCAGGCATCCTGACAAAATCTTCTCACAACTGGTTCATCCGTGCATGTTACGTAGGTTCTGATCGTAACAATTGAATTGGGGTTTCCAAACAATATATGATTGTCTACATTTTACATGTTTCTAATTTTTCTGAGCGACAAAAATCTCGATCTCATAATTTGAAAGCTTATATACCAAATATTTTTAGAAATATAGCACGGTTAACTAGATGAAGCCATATAACCTGATTTAATGCCATGAATATCAATGGTCCACTTTTACAATACGGAAACGTTTGATTCAGGCGACGAAAAGGGGATTTCCGAAAAGGTCATACTAAACTTAGTAAAATTGCCTGGTTTGGCTGCGAGGTATTGTAAAGTGCCAAAGATATAGCCATGTCATATTACAAATAGCCATGGCAAATTTTGTATACTTTTGCGTCATGGCCGGAAGAGTATAACCGCTATATATAAATTAGTTACACACTTTCGCCCGTAATACTAAAGTATACAAAAATTGCCTACTTCGCATGCCTATATAACTACCGTACTAACCTACATTTTGCAGCCAAACTTGGCAATTATACCATTTCAGTATGCTGTGGTGATTTATTTCCTTCTTGTTACCTAGATCACAAAAGTTGGTCTATTATTCAAATGGTCCATTGTCCTGCATTAAGGACACTTGTAACCAAAGTTGCAATGAAAAATCTTGTCGAAAAGAGTCGCTGCATCCCTATATAGACTTATCTTGGCAACTCTCTTTGCCTAAGCCCATCCTCTTATGGGGTATAAGGTGGTGGTGGATCTTGAAATACATCGGTAATATTAGTTCTTGTTGTGTGGGTTGTCTTGGGGGATATTGCCACTGTTCTGTTTGATGTTGTCGTAATAAATGCTGCTCCCGAAGTTTCAATAGGCTGTGGCTGTGCCCCTAAATTACTTCCGTAAAGTGGCTGTCCTAAAATACACCGACAGCAAACGACCAAAACGGGTGGAAGGATAAAACAGATGCCAACTATATAAAAATAAATACAATTATAGGAGTCCAAGCGGAACAAAATATCCCACATTTGTTATTAGAACCACAACATTCGTCCGGCGCACAGTCGCTATCAACGTTACAAGACCTGCCAACGCATTTTGGACGACAAATTGTCGAATTTACTCCACAGCAGTACCCGCCGCTTGAACAGTTGGCATTGTAGCAAACGTCTGCTTTCAAGAAACCGCTAACGGAAAGTGCGAACGAAGTAAGAAAATGATCGTTCTCTTCTTCATAAACGACATTATAGGTTGAATAGCTTCGGGTGTTTTGTTTTGCTACGCCATGGTTCGTCACTTCATTGTCATTGATATTTTCTTTAGGGTTGTCTGACTGTTTTGGCTCGTTTGAGGATTGGTTAGCAGAAGATCGAGCATTCATATGGTTGTTTAAAAACAGCTAAACCCGCCAGCTGGATACCGCTGCATGTGTGTTTCTAAAATTATTGTAATGACACAAATTTCCATTGCTTCGTTTATATAATATCATTATTATTTTATTATTATTACATATATTAGGACATATATTATGACATACATAATATTATTATATTGTTACTGTTATTATAGAATTATTAATTATTAGCATTATTATTATTTTTATTATTATTATTAATAGTAGTAATTGTTTGTAGTCGGATTGACATCATATTTTCATGGCTTCCATTTGATCACATGCATGGTTAATTATATATATAGAAAATCAAAATGTCAATGGAGCAGCATTTTGCTGTATTATTAGTCACCCTAGGTTACTTCAGTCATAAGATTAAATATTATGTCTAATGATGTACATCTGTACACAATTAAGCAGCGGTGTTTACACGACAAATCTCCTGGGGCCGGTTGTATGAAAGCCGGATAGCGCTATCCACCGGATAGTGTTTTTTCAATCGCTTCAAAATCGCCCGTTATTTGCTAAAACTTTGATTAAATCTTAGTATTCCTAAATCGAAGATCCTCTTAAATAATTGTTGCTTCCAAGCTGAAATTTTATCGCTTTTCAAGCATTTTTAAAACGGTTAAAAAAATCACTATCCGGTGGATAGCGCTATCCGGCTTTGATACAACCGGCCCCTGTTCGGTAAACATGTCTTACAGCAGCGTAGCCAGCCTGACAATTTGTCCGCTATGCCAATATTTTGATGTTCATTGACTGTGAAAACAACAAATTTCTATGATTATCCCCGAGCCGGTATGGAGCACCGTGCGAGGATACTAAAGCCCGTTTTCCACCAGGTGAAGTTTATTCGCGCGAACAGATAAAAAGTAGGAAGCGATTCTACTTTTTCGCGGCGAATTTTTTCGCCAACCAATCACATCACTGGATTTCAGATATCGCGTCACGCGGATAAATTCGCCTTCTGGAAAAAGGGTTTAATTCCGCTCGGATATTTACACCCACGATGTGCAAATGCGAAATCAAAGTCGTCCGCCATTATGCAATGGACCTCGCACCATGGATGGTCTTCTACGTTGTGCGCATGCGCCAGTGTGAAGTATTGATTGGTCGATACAAAAATTTGTACTTTTAAACGTGAATGCATAACTGTCATTTCGCAAAATTTTGATGAAATTGACAAATTTATATGGAATATATATATTTTTTAATTACATAAGAGGGAAACTGAAATGTGGTCAGGACGTTTTACGGTTTAAGGAATAACAAGACCAAATTTTCGACCGAATTCACCGTTAATAATAATTCGCCCGGCACAGCTTTAAAAGTCATTCTTTTGTGGTAAACACAACTCTAATATTCTCAAATGTATTTCACTTTTAATCTGAATGTATCAAAATATTTGCGTTAAAAACCAGTCAGGCGTAACATAAAACTTCGGAAGTTGTATGAGACGTCTGATGTGATATTTCATGGAAAAGGCCATGTTACACGGTGTAATTTTTTTTGCATCTTGCAATGCAATCCTACTTACTTTTAAATAAATTAGTAGAGAGTATTCAAAAGTTTTGTAGTGGCAAAATTTACATCTCTCAAAAGTAGAATTACATTGCAAGTTGCAAGAAAAATTGCAATGTTAATTAATAATTGCCTTAATTAATAATTAAGATAATTTACCCAGAAAAATATAAGAATCTTTTCGTATTTTTGCCACTTTTTCACAAAAATATGAGGATAAACTTTGATTCTTTGAAAATATACGGTAGTTGGGAGTTGCTATGACAACAGTGCTTCCACGCCCAGAAAAATATTTCCATACTTCTTTTCTCACATACCACGTTCCCTCCAAACCCATCAACCAACATATATTTTCTAACTTCATGTTACCATCGCTATCCTTAACTAATTTCGTTTAAGCGAAGCGAGGGGTTCCTGCATGCATGTATTTCTAATAATAACTCGAAGTTTACATAGTGGCACAAAATCGTCTGGCTAGGCCGCTGATGTCGTACAAGATTCATGTATATGTTGACAATTTACTTGACGCTCGTTGACATTTGCGTCAGGGTTTGCAGCCATCTCTCTCCGTTTTTGCAAATGACGTGCTATTAGAGAAATAAAACCAGAGAGAGTGCCAACTCCAAACAGTGACCACGCGATTTGCATCAAAATATCCATAAGAGGGAAAGGTTCACTTTTGGCTATGACTAACAACAATACATTCTGCGATGACTTTGCGACAAACAGGAACATCTTTATCCAAAGCGCACTAAAACCGAGTGCCTCAAGACCGGTTTCAGATACGTAAAATGTGATCGGAAAGGTGAG